ATAACAAAAACAATTCATATTCACATCAAAGTTAAAAATCGGATCCTTCAACGAAGAAATGAACTTCTGCAAAAACAAACAAAACTTGTTTCCTTTGGGAACAGTCACAAACACATGTTTCTTCCTTCTCAACTGCCACTCAATCACATTACAACATAGCAACCAAATAGAAGCTCTGTTCTGTTTGGGAGAAGGGTTGTTGATCACTATACAGTGGGGCTGCAATCTCTCCAGTTGCTGCCAAATACCATCTTGACCCTTCATAGTGGAAAAGTTGTATCCTGCCTTGAAATCCATAGGAGATGCAACTTTAACACCATTCTTTGAAAGGAACCAAGATAGTCCACTGTTTCCATGAAGTAACTCAACAACATCAGGATGATCATCATTACAGAAGAAAAAGGACTGTTCTCCAAATTCGGCATCAACATACAGTTCGTGATCTTCACGTAAGTTCTCCGGATTCTCATCGTCTAATGCCGGTATGGAAACATCATGCCACTCATCGTGATCGCGTCTAACCTTTGACTGATTCACACGTATCACTGCCTTACCAGTATTAGCTTGGACCATAGCTCCTTCTTGTCCAAGTACTGTGGCACGAACCCAACGTCCTTTATCCTTGAACTTTGATGAATCCTGAGTCCAAACAAAAACCTTCTCTCCTTGGAAATAAGGACCGTCACTTGGCATAGTCCTTCTTGCAAGATCTGCTCGAAGGTCCTGAGCTTGTCGTGCTTCTTGATGAGCTCTCAAAGCCACACGTTGTAGTTCCAAATTTGTACGATCTTGTGCGGCGGCATTAGCTGACAATTGCTCAGGGCTTGCGGTCTCAAGGTCAAAAAGATCTGGTGGACGTCTTCCAGTTGCTATCTCTATTGGTGAATATCCACTGATAGTCAACTGACAATTTCTTGCCCAAACTACCTTCTTGACCACTTCTCTGACCGTAACACCACGAAAACGTGGGTCATCCAGATCTACCTTCATAACATGCCACATACGTTTGAACAAACGTACAGCTGTCTCTGCTCGGTTCGGCCAAGGAGTTCTTGGCCCACAAGGACATTGTTGTATACCATGGAACCTGTAGTATTCAACAAAAGCATCGGTGAAAAAGGCTTCGTCTCCTACGATGGCCTTTGGAACACAGTTGTTCTCATCAGACCATTGCCTCAATGCTTGGATGGTGGTTTGATCTATGAGGTCTTTCTGTGCCGTAGCCCAGAGAAGATTTGTGGCACCATCAAGAACAAGTAAGATGATATACTTGTTCTTGTGAAGTTCAACCTCACAATGATCAGCAAAAACAACATCACCAAAACATGAAGCTCTAATACCGGAGACTCTGGCTCGTGGCGGAGGTGCCACTGAAGTGTTACAAACACGGCAGTTCCTGACAACTGATTCATACTTCTCTAAAACAGAGTCAGGAAGCTTCAACATAGAAACACGTCTACGAAACTGAGTAGGACTCATATGGTAGTGCTTCACATGAAGCTTATAAAGCTCTACCTTGTCCTCCAGTCTCTGTAACATCTTCATATATGCCGGTGTCATTGCAACAACTTCACTACCAGGTAATGGGATTGAAATCCGCCTAGGCTCAAGAGCGCCATCACCTGGTTCAAGTGGTTCATGTTTATCACTTGATGGTCCTTTTGATGCTTTAGGAATTTCTACAAGTTCACCTTCTGGCCTCTCAGGTGGTTCTGAGGGAGCATACTCCTCAAGATCATCACCCTTTAAATCATTCTGAGGCTCAGATGGTTTCGACTTGTGTCCCTTCCAAAATGGATCAAAACCCTTGCATGTATACCGAAACTTTGGCGGCACGGGCTTTTCCGCGGCACTTGATGGTGCACCTTCCTTCTCTGACGAGAAGCTTGGTTCCCTGTCCTTTGCAATGGGAACCTTCTCTGAGGAGGAGCGCACCACTGCATCGGGATCACCAATGCCACGGTGCTCAATGCCAGCCTTCCTGATCTTTAGATCTGGAATTTTGGCATCTGGTTTGAACTTAAAAATTGTTCTACCACGCCATTCATAGCTAATTTGTAGGTCCTTCCATTTTGCCTTGCGCCAATCATCTAGCTTCTTGATTTCTTCTCCTCCTTTCTTCTTCTTGATGATTGTCAGTCGCAAGTCTTCCAGTAAGTCAGTGTCTACAGGACAGGACTTAGTTGCTGGAAAAAGAATCTTTCTATAATCCTTGTGGTGACGTATCAGTTCTCTCTTGTGAACATCTACTTCCCAGTAGTCAACCACAGGATATGCATGTTCAGCTACATCTTCACTATTGTGATCAACAGAAATATGACCATATTCATAGTGAGTGAAGTGAGAGTAAAAACTCTTCTCGCGCCGAGTCTGCAAATTCACGTCAGACAGATACCATGCAATATCTTGGAAGTCCAAGACAAGATGAGTACTGGCTGCAACCTTCAACTCCAAATATTTGATACCAAGAGGCACCGATGTCAGATAAGCATGTTGAGGTGTCAGCCTGAGTTCAAAGCCTAAGTTCCTCATCTGTGGCAAGCTCATAAGCAAAGGGACTTCTCCTTCTTCCACTATGTCGAACTCTGTATGGTGGATCGTCCATGCACGATCATACATGTAAATCACCAGTTTCTGAGAGCAAGTAGCCTTCTGGGAATTGGCAAAGTAAAACTTGCTCTTGGTAGCCTCAAAACAGTACCATAATCCACAATCTGGGTGATTGTCGACATAGTTGCAAAAATGGTCGACTGCTCGCCTTGATCCCATAGCTCTAGTGCATCCAATGTCCAGGATTGCAATAGTCGGCGGGAAGCGATTCTCAGTCAAAAATGAAATGGCCTGCATCTCCTTCACTTCTTCCTCAGCGCTCATAAGCGCAAAGCCATCAGGAGCCTTTGTGAGCATCTCCTTTGACAAAGAGTACCTCACAGGGGCACTCATGCCATTGAAGATCGTCTCACCATTGTTGACCGCGCAGTCAGCTTCATCTTGACATGAGGTCATCATGCCTGACAGCAAGTTCACCTCACTGTCATGGACTTCAGCTGCTGCTGTCACACAATGTGCAAAGAAACCTTGTTGACCTCCTGATGCTTGTGAAGATCTTGAAGGTGCAGGTAAAGAACGTGGCTGTTGTTGATTTGCATAGTTTGCATCTTGTTTGCCATCTCCTTTATCTTTTCCTTTTCCTTTCTTGCCTTTTCTCTTGCCTTTTCCTTTTCCTTTGTGGGAAAACCATGCTTCTTCAAGCTGTTGCCAAAAGTCATTGGCATCATCATATTCTCCTTGAAGATAGTCATTCATATCTTCGGCAAGAATGGCATCATATGCTACTTGGTTTGACTCCCAAGTGTCCTCATAAGGATTCTCTTCAAAGTACTCATCTGGATAAGTTGTCTGTTGCTCATCAGCAAAACGGCCTTTACCTCGTCTCTTTCCTTTTCCTTTTCCACGAGGTCTGAAGAATCTGCGGCCTGATCTTCCTTTACCTTTTCCTTTTCTTCTTCCTTTTCCTTTGCCTTTTCTGGCTCTTCTTCCTTGGAATCTCCTTTGGAACCACGAGAAGTTTTGATCATCATATACCCAAAAGACATCGTCCAGGGCATCTAAAAATCCTTCTGTTCCATCTTCTTCATCTTCGGCCCAATAGCCAAATGTACCATCGAGTTCTCCTTCGTCTAGTACGAGAAATGATCTTCTACCTCCAGCACCTGTTGGCTGCATCAAAGGATTGTCTACTGAAGTCTTTGTCGTGCAGAACATCTCGATGAATACTGTCCTCAACTCTGTTGTGGTGTATTGCTGCAGGACCCTGCCACGATGAGTCATCAAAGAAGTCAAAGTGTTTCGCTGGTCCTGAGACAAATCTGCAAGTGACAGCATGAGTAAGGCAATGAGATTTTCTCCTAGAGGAAATTCGTTCTGATGAAAAGTCCTCATATTGCCATTGATGGTCTGCATGATCTCCTGAATCCTTTCTGCCGTTGGTGCTACTCCAGTCAACGCTGCATCTGCCTGCATCTGAGCTAGGACCTGTGGATGTGCTTGAGTGACTGGTTCTAACATGTCCATCCAACTGCTCATAAGCCTTTGGAGTAAAATCTGGAATCTTGTCATCCATTTCATCATGTCAGCTGATCCTCGATTGAAGCGCACGAATTGCATAAATCTATACAGGAATACATTGGTTGATCCTTTCACGAAATATGGTCGTAGTACTCGTTTGAAATATTCTACGCCGGCTCCTGGTGGATCATTTGCCTTCAATGCATCTCTGTCTAAAACACGTTTGTATACAGCTGCTTCTCCTTCTAATCTGTTTCTCAATGCTGGTCCTCTCTTCTCATCTTCCAGCTCGGTGATATCACACCAATCGTCTATGGCATCCTCATAGGAAAACCATGAAGTCTTTCCATCATAAGATGGGGGCACCTTTGTAGTGACCTGTGTTGTCATTGCTATTGCTGCTGGTTCTCTTCTCACATGCCTATTCACGTAGGCTGCTGGCTCATAAGCCACATCCGCATCAGGCTCTTCCCAGTCGTCAATCCAATCCATGGCCGTTTGCCCACAAGCAATTCTATGCCTAGGAAAGGAGCTCACCTGGGTCTTCCAGGATCACTGCTCCGCTACCACTGAAAGAGTGACTAGGGCGTACATGGTAGAGGTGCAGACCGCTAGTGTCTTTTATGCGCAGAGTCTTATCCTCTTGCTCTTTGAGCCTTGAAGCAGTCAAGCATGGACACACTATATCGGCTGTTGGAGTGGAACCCTGTACAGGTAGGCTCTACTTTTCAGGGGGGGGGTTAGCTTGATATATCAATCTTTAAGGCACGCAGCCCCTCCCACCACAACATTGCTAAAGCAAAGAAGAACTCAGCTAGCATGCTAGCTTTCGTGAGTAGGCGTCTCTTTTGAAAAACGTTTCTGCTCTCAGACTCTCTTCAAGTAACTGGTACTACTAAGTTACACTGCTGTAAGGCTTGATGGTTTCCCGCCTCGTCTTCTGCGAGGCCAAGGCCAACCAAGAAGAGCCATCGAAGCACCATTTCAAGAGCCGTCCGCTGACTCCCGAGCCGTGTCCCAAACACAAGTCAAGGTGAACCAAACCCCAGGGCTCCAAGTACCTTCCAAGAAGGTGTTTGGGGTGGGTCCAAATACGTTCTGAGGAGGTACGACTGGAGCCCTAGGTTCTGTTGGTTTTGATCGCGGTTCTCCCAACCCCCAAAAACCTTATATAAAGCTTATATCCGCTGATCGCTGACGGGGTAGGTCTCTGGCCCTCCTCTTGAGCCAGAAAAGGCAGAACACGCAGCTTCAGCTGGCAAGGCATCCACTCAGCTCCATCTTGAGGGGGGTTGGGAGCTGGAAGAAATTCCTCCCCAAAACCCCAAAAGCCAGATAAACCAGGGGAATATTGGGCAGAAAACCGTCATCTATGGTCAAAGAATTTGTTTAAGGGAACATCTACAGGAAATCCGTGTTTTCACCGCCAAAACTCAAGGTTTCCTGTTGATTTTCCCTGAGACCAATTCTGGACTATGGTCCAATCCTCACATCACATAGGTGCTCTTTGTTGGATCGTTCATTGGATACACACTCCCATGGGACTGCCTACTGAACATTGATTCCAAATCAACCGCCCCTGGCCTGATCAGCAAACTATGCCAGTCGCAGTGGTCGTGCGCTGTGCACGGCTTCGGTTTACATGGGGCCCCCACCCAGCGAAGCTTCACAGCTGCCGCCCGTGGTACTGACTCCGCACTTGATGCCTTGGCGTGGGGATTGCTGCGTAAGAGATGTTCTATCATTTCTATCTATCCTATATAGCCTATATAATTATATGTAATTATCATCTTTTGCGCGATATCTGATCTCTCTCGCAATCCTTGCGCGGCCCAGCCAGCCCAGGCAGGATCAAAAAAAAGTCGGACAAGAATAACGCCTGAAGCGGTGCCAGGATAACGTCTGTTGGTGACAAGGCACCGCTTCAGACTCAATCTTGCGCGAAAGAGTCAGACAAGAACCACCTACACAGGTTTAAGTGATCTTAACTAGGACCCGTCACCAGGGGTACCCAACTAGGACAGTCGAACGTTCGGGTTCTGACCCACCTCTGCTGGCAATCCCCCTGCGGTTCCAAAAAGTTATAGTTTGAGACCCCTGGGCACCGGTCCAGTGGTCCCAACCACGTCCTGAACACCGAAGCATAGAGAGGTCCCAACATGACCAGGACCATCCAGGACCTGACTAGCATAGAGGTCACCGTCGCGACTTTGGAGACGCCTAAAAGCCATTGCAAAGGAGAGACCTCGACTGAGCTCGGGTGCTGCTCGGACGGGAGACCGAAGCCTTCGGATTTGGAGCTCGGACCTCTGGAGTTCTGGGTCCCGCCACCGCCCCGGTGCGACCGGTGCGACCGGACTCGTCTCGGACTCCCAGTCCGAAGCGCTGGGCTCCGCGTCTGGGTCACATGGACAATGGAGTAAACATGGAGTGAAACCATGGTGATGTGGGCCGAACACGGAGACACGGAGGAAGGCGGGAATCCACTTCCACCCACCGCGCAGACGAAGACGGGAATTTTGGGGGTTGAATGCCCCACCCCGGTTTCGATCGTCAGACCCACCCCAGTGGTGTTGGGGCTCCATGATGTTCCATGTTGCTCTGGGCGAAGTTCAGGGAGTTGGCCCAAGTTGGTCACACTGATGTTGGAGTTCCGTGATGTCTCCATCTCTGCGTCAAGCCTACTCCTGGGGCTTCGCTTGCGGCAGGAAACTCCGCGGGGCACGTCGACTCCGCGTCGACTCCGGCAGGATGCTGGATCAGGCGGTCGTGTGGAAGCAGCCGTCCAGCTGTTCGTTGCACACCCAGGCATCCGTCCCCCTCGAGTCGTCGTCTAACAAGTAGAACCTCAGAGGGTGACCGTCCGGTGGTCGACCCCCCCCGAAGTCTGCAAATGGCCAATGCGAAAAGTCTTGTTCTAAGGATCCACAGTCCACATATCTTCTCAGAAGGTACGTCTACGGCCTGAAAGCCGACCTTCTCGGATCCACATACCTCCGAAGGTACGACTGCACTCTCCAAAGCCATTTCACCAAAAGTGCACCTTTTGCCCTGGACCATGGCGCGCAGGGTTTCTGGACCCCTTTCCGATCCACCACAGACTGCGCCGACGTCGAGGCGGTCTGGAAACGGTGGTTTGGCGCTCCAGCGGATTTAACCTGTTCGTGACCAGCCAAGGAAAGGTCCCACAGTGTCATGTAAGTTGAGCCTAAGGCCTAAGCGACCGAAGCAAATCCAGGGGATCAAGGTACGTCACTTCAGAACCAGGAAAAAACATAGGAAAAGAACCTATTGCTATACCTAGTGTATGATTGCGTATGATGGTAGAGTCACACTCACCACCGGGACGCTCCACATACCCGAAGAAGGCGATTGGAGTGGACCCAAACTACCGATGGGCTAGGCCAAAAAGAGCTGTTCAACCTCTCAACCCAGCTCTTTGATGTACTTGGAGTCGCCCTAGAACATGGCGCCCCAGGATGGCGCTGGGCACGTACACATCGGCCATCATCGACCTAGCTAGTTTGTTTAATGGAGTCAGTCATGTACTTGAACACACAGCACATGGTGAACCATTCCAGGTCCAAAACAACATGACCCTTAGTAAGTCCAGTTCGCCTACTTTTTGGGCAGCACCCCAGATGTCCCACTTCCGAACTCGCTTGCGGATCACCCCAAGGTCGACGTCCAGGCGAACAGCACGGTCGAAAAACACCCGACACCTTCGGTCACCGTCGCGACGATGGACGATCGACCTGGGTCCTCGCGACCTTTCAGCCACCCAGACGCTCATGGGCCCTCATATGGAGGGGTCGGGCCCTCATATGGAGGGGTCTGGGGTCTCAAACTCCTAGGTTTTGAGGGACCAAGGGCTGTTTGGAGCGTCTGGGCAGAAATCAAAGACCTTTTTTGAGACGAGTCGGGTCCAGTCACTTCCTCCCGGACGCTGACGCTCATCACCTCTGTTTGGGGCTATCAATCAATGGAAGCCGCGTTGTCAATGGGTGTTCTGATAGTCGACCCCACCCCAACACTCCAAGTATACCAGGGTGGTTTGAGGGGTCAATGTAGGCAAATATTCATGGAATGTCAGGGCCAGCTGGTGTGTGGCACACGGCGTCTCCGTCTTTGGTCACGAGCTGCTCGTCGGTGCCCATGACATTGGCCGCGTCCGCCTTCCGGTGGAGTTCTTTCGAGTTCGCAGGGAGGGGAAGACGTTTCTAAGCATCTCAAGGAGCCATCATCCAAAATCGATACTAGACTATACATGATGCCTTGCAAGCCCCGAAATCGTTCTTCCTGCATGTACTTATGGCTGTGTCCTGATTTGAGGGACACGAGGGACTGAATGGTAGTCATCCCGACCACGACTGAGCAGTCTGGTCTATTTCGATACACCGAAGGTGGCAAAGCATGCCCTGTTCAGGCATGGACGCCCCGTTGCCACAGCTTGGCTTCCCATTCGACAGTTCGGACCACGTGAACTGACAATGACGCCATGGCACACGAACGCAGCACGGCCTGTCTCTGCGCAATTTTCATCAATTTTCTTTGGTGAACATGCCTTTTCATCTTTAAAATGAACTGAAGGTGGACTAGTCTTTGCGCCACCCTCCAAAGTCTGCATTTCACCCACCACAGGAGACCTGTTGATCGTGTCCTGGTACATGTGCCCGCTACCGTTTTCCTTATTGCCCTAAGAATCCTTAGGCTGTCCATGGCAGGGGTCGGACCCGACACCTTCGCAGGGGTCCGGGGCCGAAGCAAACCCTATCTGTTTGAGGGCCCGGATTCTTAGTGTGGAGTGTTTCCGCAGCACCGACCTCCAGCACCGACTCCGTTCAACGACTCCGTTCGCCTCGAGGATGCCGCAGGCGACGCAGTGCACTCCGCTGAGCACGCGGATGTCCATGCGGCCACTGAAGGCTGCGCGGCCCGCTTGGGTGTAGCCTGGGTGGTTGGGCGAGCCCGGAAGGTCCGAATCGGACGTTCTTTCCCGTTTGGGCTCCTGGCCCATCTCCTGAGGATGTTGGGGTGGGTGCCAGGCGGGTCTAACCACCGAACGTTCTGAGATGGTTGGAGCCCTAGGGTTTTGTTGGGAATGGAATGGGAAGGGTCCAGAAGAATTCCCACTATGTCACTATGCAGCATGAGTGTGGATCCAAAGGTCTAACCCTCAACAGTACCGGTCAATGTGCCTTTGATTGGGAAGACTAGGGGGTCGATGCCAGGTACGAACCTATCGCTTGTTACATACCTTCCCGGTTGCTTTCCCCTCTACAAACCCTAGGGCTCCAACCATACCTGGCACCCACCCCAGCCATCTCCTCACCTCAGGTGGGCGCCCTAGCTCGGGACATCCACCAATGGAGCAGGCCATCGAAAAGCTGGTCACCGGAGAGGGTCAAATGGAAAGGTCGGTCGTCACTCGAGTTAACAACACATGGCTGCTTGGTAGGGACGTATTTCATGGTGGGAATGGTCTGACGTCACAGGCCGTTTTTTGGAACATCTTGGAACATGTTTCTTGCAGACCCCAGATGATCAGAATATATATCCCAAACACTCCATGTATGGTATATTTACCTACATTGGGGTGGTGCCAGAGGGGTCAATGGGGCGACATCTATGCCAGTCCCATGGGTCGTGTCTGGGATATATACATACACTGCATGTGGCATCTTTGCACATGCCTTTCGAGTCTTGCGCGGGGGGGGCAAATTCCGCTCTTCTGGCCTCGGTGCTGGTGCTGGTGCTGGGTGCCGGGCGCTGGCAGGTGCTGGTGCTGTGAGCTGGCTGTGCACGTGGTGGAGACAGGTGCTGGTGCTGGTGCTGGGTGCTGGGTGCCGGAGTGCGTTTGCGTGAGTCCGTGCCATTGGGGGAAGGCCACCTTCTTGGGTGCACCAATTTCGGGAGCAAGGAGTACGGACGGCGTTCCCCTCCGAGGTGCTGGTTGAGGTGAAAAGAGTTGGTCTCAACAGTTTGTCCCCAGTAGTGTGTTCATCCAGGAGGAGGCTAGCACATGTCTCTACCCTAAGCAGGAGCAAAGCAATGTGATTACAGTACCAGCCTTCCCTTCGACCCTTTCAACAATTAACTAGCTGAACTTCAAATCATTCTTCGGGTTTCAAACCACTCAACGGTGGGCCAGGAACCCTACTAAGAATATGTCCTGTGATGTTCCGAACCGCTTCCTGCTGATCATGAGGTCTCATCGGTTTTAGATTGGCTTGATGCTCCAGCAGAGGACCCCATGGACTCTCAAAACCACTGGGGTGTATATACCCGAAAGGGCTCCTGGCCCACCTCCTGAGGTTCGGTGGGCCAGGGGTGGGTGCCATGGGGGTCTAACCACCGAACCTGAGGATATGGTTGAAGCCCTAGGGTATAAAGGAATATGGTCGAAACCACGCGTGTAATGTTCAGGGTCCATGCTAAGGTCTGGAGTTGGGTTTACCAGCTTGAAGCCTCTGACAGAGTGCATCGCCCTGTTACACGTGTCTGTTTCTCTTGATAAGGAGACCTCCCAGGCAACGACCAGCTGGAAGAAGGAAAATTGAGCAGTCTACCCATTGGTTGGGGGTTACTATTAAAGTGCATGCCCAGAAGTGAGGTGCGACTGCCCCCTGCTTAAAACATCTTAGAACAGCTTCAGGATCCAAAATCATGCCCACTGTCGCAAAGGAAAATCCACACGCCAAGGAGCAGCCCAAAAGCAACGTCGCATCGGGTTTGCAATAGGTGTAATAGTATTGGCAATTTCCTGAGTGGTGTCACAAGCAGCGGAGTACACTTCTCAACACCTTGTTCACCTGGTGAGTACTAGTAACTTCTTGTTGCGTTCGTAGCGATGGCCTCCAACCTACTTGCGATGGCCACCGAGCATAGCGTCCTTGCTGTGAAGGAACAGAAGGGCCCAAAGAGTGCAAAACAAGCCCAAATGGAGTCAACTCAACGGGCCCCAACGGGCTCCATGTACCTTCGCAGCAGGTAGGGGTTTTGCTCGTCACGCGGCGAGCGAAGAAGCTGCGATTCGATCTGCCTAGGTCCTGTCATCTCCCTCTCCCTACAGGTCCCAGTGCCCCAAACCCAGGTCCCCAGTGCCCCAAACCCAGGTCCCCAGATCCCAGTCACACCAACCAGATTGAGTAGGTGTGTCTTTTGGATTCTCTTGGCATGATCAACTCCATTCCAGCTCTCCGTTCCCAGGTCCTATACCTCCGAGTGCCGGCTCCGTTGAGCGCGGGTTGCGCAACCAGAGCAGCTAGGAGGACAATTGGCCACTAGCTTCTTGTTCCATTCGTAGTAAGTATTGCCAGGAGCTACTAGTGTCCTTGCTCCTAGTAAGGCCAGGAGCCCCGTTCGTAGCGTGCGATCGCTCCGTTCGAGTCGCGATGCCAGGAGCCCTGCCGTTCGTAGTGAACAGTGCTCCGTTCGTCACGTGCCGCGCCTGCCACACAGAATGCCGGCGACCATCCCCCCCCATTTGGGGCCTCCAAGTCTCGAGCTTTGTTGTACGCACAGCCCTCGCTGTACGCAGTGCAAGCGCTGGTGTACGCGAGATTCCCTTGGCAGTAGCCCAAAATCATCATCAACCAGGACCCGAAGAGCCTCGGGCTTCGCAAGAACACATGGTTTGCCTTTCATCCTGCTGACTTGCTGACCTTTGGGGCTTTAACTGCAAAGCCAGAAATGAAACTGCTGAGGTGCCCATGTTGCCTACAAAGGTATACGGTATTATATACAGTAATTTACTCCTGCAAAAAACGCAGTCTGGTTCAGGTTCAAGCTAGTTTGCTTCAAGCTCCTGCTGCTTTGTCTTTCAAGTCGTTGGACGTCATTAATGTAGACTGTTGATTCATAAAGCCACATATTATAATATGATGTGAAGCCATTTCGCCACGTGATAGGGTGAGTCAGGGCCAGGGGGAGATTTCTCGCATGACATCGAACATCCAAGGCGCAAGATGCCCTGCACAAAATGCAGCAGCCGTGTCAGCCAGGGGCCCTGCTTGCAAATACCGCCAAAGAGCATCATGAGTCGAGATGCATTCCTGAGCAGGATGATGTCAGCATGAGTTGGATGATGTCAAATGCACTTTGAGCCAACAGGTGCGGCTGGGTGCGGCCTCTCAACTTGAGATTGACCCCAAAATGCTCCAAAGAATCTGTTCAACACCGGCTTGATCACCCAATTTCCCCAGTGCTTGATCAGCTCACTTCACTCACCTCGCCATCCTTGCCATGCATCTTCTTGTCGAACTGGAGCTTTTCAGCAGGGAGGTGGGTGAACTTGCCCAGGCTGTAGATCATGATCATGCAAACCTCAGTCGACTGCCGTTTTGGTGCCCGAAACAGCGTCGTTCAAAGACCATCTTGGGTGGCGGGGAGGTATGCGGGCACGGGTAGAGGCATGCTTAAAATGAGTGGAGAAACCCAAATACTCTAGCTGCTAGCTAGCTTGTTATTGATTGTTATTGTTTGGGGCATGTCATTTTAGAGGTCCCTGCATGGGTGTTAGAGGGTAGGATCTTGGTTGCATCGTCTGCTGTAGACACAGACTTTCTCGCTGATCGTGAACGGTTTCCAGTTGCCGAGAGCCACGAGCAAGCCCGGGAGACCAGGTTACCAACACTCTCAGGCTGGTCTAAACCATATTCGCACCTTGTGCTGCACATCTTACATTTACATGTTCTATGTCCTACTGCAAGTTCTTGAGGACAACTTCGAACGTAAACACCCCCAGTGCACAACCAAAGCACGGCTTCGCTTCCTACTCTCCAAGGCTGATGGTGGAAGAATATGGAAGACTTAGGGTGTCTTATGATTTCTTACTTAAGAGAAAAAAGGCTCCGAGGTTCGCTAAAGGATTCTTGGATTTGCTTGAGGAGCTGGACATAAATACAAGAATCTTCCCAAAGGAACCACTCAGTTCGAGGAACCATCCCTTGATCACAAGAACCAAAATCAAAATGTCAACAGACTTCTCTTCTTGTGATCATGCCACCATGGTTTTAGGAGATTGCAGATGCGGGCGCTTGCTCACCAACACGCCGTAAAAACCTATCCCTGTGTTCTTCTCCGGCTTTGTTTGCAGGTACACTCCCAGCATCCAGCCAAAACCGAGGCCGGTCATCGGATTAACCGGACGGGGAGACTGGGCGCTGCCATGATGTTTGGTGGTGAATCCCCCGATCGGCCAGTCGTACCGAGTTACTGAGGAGGGGTGACGCCAGGGGTGGGTGCCAGGAGGGTTTAGTCATACCGAACCCTGAGGAGGCACGGCGAAGTCTGTGTAGGGTCAACAAACAAGCCATGCTTTTCATACCAACCTGGCTGGTGCATCGTTGCTTCCAGCTCCTTGCTCCCACGTCAAGACACCAAGAACTGCAGGCCGTTCACGTAGAAGTTTGCATACATCATGTTGGCCACCTGATGTACCAACAGAGGTTAAGTGACCTTATAGGACACTACAGGGGTACCGAACTGGGATAGCCTAGTTCGGGTCTTTCAACCTCTGTTGGTATGCAGTGAACGCACGTGCCGCATGGATGAAGCTCTCTCAACGGATGTTCCCCGATGACCGTTCCGTTCTCGGGTCGTGTCTGGGAATGTTGAAACCCAGACACGACCCATGGGACTGCGATATTTGCCTACATTGACCCCTCTGGCACCACCCCAACTGATCGGCATATATGGTAGTCCCATGGAGTGTTTGGGAAAAGGAATTAATAGCTCAAAGACTCCCCGCAGGAGATCCACAAGATCCAGGTACGATCGTGGTGTATATTCCAGTGAGCGGAGAACCATGCTGTATCATGGGGTTCTATGGCATGGTTTTCTGTTGGCCCTTGCAGTCCAAGACTGCTTACAGTATATATGAAAATCGTCTTTAGGTGACCCGAGAGGAAAAAAAAATGGTATTATCTTTACTAAGTAAGGGGTTGGGGAACTCCTTGTAGCTCCTCGGCTCCCCGTTGAGCTGGGGAATATGGATGCCCCTGGCTCCGAATCGCTCCCTCCTGAGCAAAAGCTAGTTTATGTAACTGTGGTGTTGCCAAAGAGTCTTCAGACTTTGATCCAAAGAGTCTTCAGACTTTGATCATTGATGATCCATGTATGTGGTGTTGCACGTTACCATGGCACATCTGAGTCATTACTCTCACCTGCCCTGCCCCCCGTAATCAGAACTGAATGACTCCGGTGTTTGCACTTGCACCGGATGCACGGGCATTGGGGGAAGGAAGTGAGTCATTTGAAGGTGCGTTTTCTCGATTCTTCGTCGCCCGGACGGCTCAGCGGCTGAGCGTTAAGCCATGATGCCCATGAGTGAGCCATGATGCCAGGCCCAGGCATGCCGTGTGTATCTATCTCATCTCGGGTTCGACCGAAGTCTCCGTCACGTTTCATTCGGCTTCAGATCCATGGTCTGAAGTGATGGGTTTCCGTGTTCAGGTTCAGATCCATCAAGTTGTTCCCTCACTGCACCTCAGCCCCAACAAAGAGATATACCCAAAGTGGATGAAGCCAAGGCACATTCAGCAAGTCTCCATACTCACAGGCACTGAGTCCAAAGGCATCATTGCTACCTTGGAGAGGACTCCCAACCCCAGTGGAAAGCGCTGGAAAGTGAGGGTCGATGAAGAGGCATCAAAAGCCCTCACAGATCTTTAAGACCATGTTCAGTGGACAGTGGACAGTACTATTTCGAGTTGATCTGGGTAGACTTTTGTATCTTCGAAGCCAGGGGCAGCCATGTTCGATAGGTCTCCTGGTTTGACGAGGACTCTGAGAGACCAAAGCCTTTGAAGAAAGCAGAGTTCTTCGTTCTCTTCCTTCAGGTCGCCAGCGGTGTGCAGGAAGTGACTTGATTGGGCGCAGGAGTTGGCACGACAAACACATGAAGAAGCTCCCCTCTCTCAAGCAGAAGCTTCCGTGTATGGGGGTCTGTGCTGATTTCTTGCTGCAGTTGTGTTGGTTCTGCTAGGCTGACACGTCCAAGCCGGCCAAGCCGCCAAAACCACCTTGGAACTGTCTGGTCCTGCTTTCTCTGCCCTGCCCCCTGCCCTGTGTGGTTCAGATATGTCGAACGCTCCACGCATGGCATATTTAGACCCTATCCTTTTGTCGGAGTGGTTGAGTTGGGGTCATACCCAAACCATCCATGTATGGAATAGTTCATACATGCAAACCCCATTTAAGACACCAATGTGCCAATGTAGGTAACCCATCGGTCGTGTCTGGGTATGAATCACCAAATCAGGTCATTTGCCTTGGATTTGCTTAAGGAACCTTGAAACATAAAACATATTCACCAGGTTCGGGGATGCACCCAGGAAACGGGAATATAGACCATCACCTTAATCAGCAAAACCAGGTCATTTGTCAGGTCCCCTACGCAGCTCTTTGTCGCGTCCCCTCGTGCCCTCGTCCTGTCCGGGACGCATTCCACAGCGCTGCTGGTGGACAGGACCTGTGCCTTCAGGTCTGTGTCGTTGGTGGGCACCGTGGAGCCACAGGTGTCCTGGGAAGACAAACATGGACGGCATGGACCTCCAGTCGTAACTTCTGATGGTTGGGGTGGATTTCGGGGGTCTAACCACCTTCTCAGGATATGGTTGGAGCCCTAGGGATGGAACCTGATTTTATGGACCAGACTGGTCCAAACGATGTTCCTCTACACCCAAGTGGGTTTGGGGTTGCCATGTTCATCTTCCAGGGCGGACGACCTGCTGGGAAATACGCTGTCATTGTCATGAATCACGCTTCCATGGTGAGATGTCATCTGATTGAAGCATGACCTTGAATTCATGCTATTGCATGCTATTGCTCCTCATCATCAACCATCAATTATAGCCTAATAGCTGTCAGGGCCGGGGAGCTCTGGTGGCCAGTGCCGGCTCCCTGTGCCGCGCCTCCGCAACCCTCCCGAGTGCTGGAAGAGTGCTGGGCACAATCGAAGCATAACGGTGGGTGAAAGTGGGGGAACCCTGGTTGACGCTGGATTAAATGCACAGTGACAGAGTATTCCTCTTCTGAGGGCATGTATGATCATATATGGTTTGTAAGGTGAGGTTTTGATCCACACCCATGCAACCTTTGGAAAGACTCCATTCCATGTCCTCCTCAAACCAAAAAATATAGTCAGGTGATGTCAGGTTCATTCAGGTTCTAGGTTCATCTGCTTTCGGCAAAATGTCATCTGGGACCCGTCATGCAAGACCACCATGGGAGGCCCACAGCCCATCCACTTGCCCCGTCCACAGCAGTCCCAGAACGGGGCTCTCCCTTTGCTCCCTCGCTGACAGGTTTCTCCCAAGGAAGTGGCCGTTGCTAGAATGATCTGGTAAAGCACGATGGCGGCGATCATCACCTGCGGTGTGGAATATTAAAAGAATGGTCAGACCAGTTGACCTGTGTTAGGTCCCCCAATGTAAGTGAGATCTTCACTGGAGGCCCCCTACTGGTTCATCTGAGGTGTTAACTGGTGGAGACTCCCACCATCCAAATCTCAAGAAGTCCTTTTGGAAGTCTAAGTCTGGGGCCAGGGAAGTCTTAGTCTATGGCGACTTGGGAGGGACTTGACTCCGTCCCTTCTCTGAAGATCTCGTTCTAACGTTCTACCCATGAACACGTCATGGAAAAAGGATGAAAAAGGCCGTATGGGGGAAGGAATCCCTTCACAAGGCAATTCAACTATAATATATAAGGTTTCAGAAGTACATGTGACTGTAGGCCGGAGTTTCCGGACATTAACCACTTGTCATGTATCATCATGTATCCCATTTGCAGCTGAAGGACACCCAAGCTTGCAATGCCCTGCGCGGTGTAGAACAGTACCCGCTTCTGCGAATTCCTCCGCCGCTTACCTGCAGTGCGGAACGCTTCGGCTCGGCTCGGTGGGCGGAGCCTGGGTGGATTCGAATTGGACCACTTAGGCCTGCTGGGCCAGTGCTTTGTTGCTGCATAGGCTAGGTCATGCTAAGGTTATGCTAGGTCATGCCTGGGCCAGCCCACTTGACCACGGATAAATGCTGTCCATCAGGGAGGGTGAAAAGTCTGAAATGGATGAACATTGCTCCCTCCCCAACAGCCAGATTGTCTTCTAAGTCCCTCCAGCAGGTTTTTCCTGGTGACAACATGTGACAACAGGTGCCCACAAACCACCAGTAGTCGGCTTCCAAAACCGATCTGTCGAGTTCGTTCAGTTGAATCGTCCAGCTGCATGACACCCTTAGCTTCTGCCAGAGGTGGTCCACACAGGACAGCAGTCGGTGCAAGGAGGAGCACACGCGCCGTGCGCGGTTGCGGCGGCTATCAAGCTCCCCCATGCGCAGGGCCGTCTCCGGTGACCATCGCAGTTTGGGAAGGCATCCATGAAGGCGGAGACCGAAGCTATCCCCCCAGACTGGATTTGGGCTGGGATTGCTGAAGTAATTCGGGGTCGAATGGGGAATTTGTTCGAGACTTACTAAGCTCTGCCCACCTTCATGGTCAAAATCTTGGATGTATGGCCTACACGGCCGGAATCTGCAGACGTGTTTGTGCCACAAATAGACCGCCGAATGTTTCCAGGGGCAGGTCTTTTGGGAGCAACGTGTGAGGAAATAAACACAATATGAAATGTCATCACCGGGTCTAAATCTACAAAGGAGGAGGGGTCAGAATATGTCAGAATATTTAACGTGACCCGGTGATCCTGTTTCCAAGACATTTCAGAACCTGGATATGGTATTCCTTTGCGACAAGAGGATACCATCACGCCCGGTTTGCTTTGAGGTTGGAGCCTCTAATTTTCTCTGACCTTAACGGGGCGTTCTCCAATCTGGAGCCTGAGCTTGGCCGAGCACATGTTGCAAACAGCCCCGGGACCATCCATGTATGGAATAGTTTGGGTCTATCACCAGGGCCCCGTGGATGATGATGGTTCATTAGGTTGCAGGCCTTGTTCAAACATAGCAAAAATTGATGTGATTTGCGTTACTGACGGCTCCACAGGTGAACTGGGACAGACCCAAGGAATAGTTACATACATTGTACAAATGAAAACAAATACCGATGTGGTGGTGTCACTCATTCCAGTCTGCCATGGGACGTTTTGGCCAACAAAGAGCTGGCAGCTGTAGCGGGTGATGTTTTGGAGACATCAACGCCCGAATCTATAATAGGCAAATATTCCTGACATGGAGCGGTGACCTTGTGAAGTGGCAAGTGACCTGTTGCAGTCACTACAGTCATATTTTCAGCACCCCCCGACCCGTGGTTTCGATCCCACCCGTGGTTTCGACCATGTTCCGAATTCCAACCCCAGTGGTTTTGGGTTCCATGTGGTCCTCTGCAAATCCTGAGGGCTCCGGTGCATAGGACCGTGGCATATGCTTCACGACAGATGAGCAAGTGCAGCAAAGGTGAGAAGATGTGAGAAGTATCGACCTTTTGAGCAAGTAAACCACCCAGCCTTCAACCACTGACCCAAATCCAACACAGCGACAGCGATTTCCACTGCGCGACCAGGACGACCGTGACTCGGTAGGCTCTCCTACTTCGGCCCGCGTTCCGTGTTTCAAAGCAGGCGACAAATGGATGTGCTGGTACCCCATTGATTCCGTACATGGTGGGTACCAGAAACATCTGATAGCGACCCGCGAGTGACCCCAATCGATCCATCTCCAAGTGGCCACTGAGTGACACCAAGGACAACAGTATCCAAACACTCCATGGGACTGCCATATATGCCTACATTGGGGTGGCTTGAGGGGTCAATGTAGGCATATATGGCAATACATGGAGTGTCTGGGTTATAGTTCATCCTAGCTCTAGCTCGACATCGCAAAGACCCACCGGTCATTTGGCGATGCTACTTGCGTTGAACTCATCGCCACCCATCCTAGTGGGGCATCCTTTGCAGCCCAGAAACCACCCGTGTCTTCTGATTCCTCCTCGTGCGGCCCACGCGCTGAGCCCCCCTGGACATATTGTGCGCCGGCAGCAGTGAGAAATCACCCGAGTGTGGTGTGTGCAAATGGGTTTGCAAACAAATGGGGCATCAAATGGCTTAAACAAAACAGGACCCACGGTAGCTGGGTGGTTCATAGACACCGAACTATGCTTCATATGCATCATGCCGCTTTTTCCGGCTCCTATGCGGCTAGCGGCCATGGCTATCGACATGTGGTTGAAATGGCTGGGTTAAGTTTTTGTTTGCCATGTGTTGCGCGCATACCTGTGGGTTCAGGAGACGGTCGCTACCGAGGCTGAAACCTCGACCTTCAAAGACATGTCTTGGTGTCTTGGGGTGTGAAGCCTGGGCTTTAGGCCTTGCCCTGCGTGGTCCGTGCGTGCTTGGAGAGTTGGATTCGGCAGTTGGCCGTGCGGCTGGCCTGCAGCTGGGTACACTCCCTAGGGATCCAAGTACCTTATCAGAAGGTGATTGGAGGCACTGTTATGTAGGTTTGGAGGGTCCAAGTACCTTCTGAGAAGGTACTTGGATCCCTAGGGACTGACTGGAGAGTCTATAACAGGGTGATGGACTGGAACATATGGCTACATTGTCCCTTTTCTCTTCTGGTGTCAGGTGGGCATATATACTATGGAGTGTTTGGGAGTATATCAGTGGCGGTTGTTAAACAATGTTAAACATATACAGACCCCAAAAACCTTCTCAGGGAGGCATTTGCCAGGACTCCTGGCAGTTGATACCTACGGCTACGGGATGCTACGGGGAGCAGTTCCACGTCCTTCGTGACCGGACGGACAGAAGCACCCCCTTCCCAAGCTGGACTCCTCCTCACTCGAGTTCAGGTCCAGCATGGTCCTAAGGTTTTGAAGACCGTTTAAACGTCGTGATGCCAATTCCACCTACCCCAGCATACTTCCCACAGAAATCCAAAGCATACCCCAGCATACCACCCCAGCATTCCTCATGACTAAGCATACTTCCCACAGAAATCTGTTTCCATGGACAAGTCGTCTTCCTTTGACGTCTTCCCCGTCGGCCCAGCCCTGACCGTGACCGTGATCGAGCGCCGAGCGCCTCTCTTTGAGGAGGCGCCGAGCTTCAGCCACCTCGCCGCCGGGATCCCATCGATCACGGCGCGACTCGTGACGACGACGACGATGACGACAACAACAGCAACAGCAACAACAACATCAAATATTGATCTTATGCCTGAAAAAGACTTGAACATGAAAACTTGAACATGAAAACTCTCATAAAAATGATCGAATTTTTGTCTCAGATGTTTCATGGATTTTCATGGCCTGACTGTTTGGTCCTCTCTCGTTCGTGTGGGGTGTGGACACCGCCCACCCGCACGGCCGCTCGACGAGCGTCGACGCACGCGGAGAAACGCGTCGGACGCACCAGCCTCCACGTCATCGCCATCCCTTTGTGGCCGTCGGAGTGTTGGAGGTTTTTCACCTCCCTTTGGATGGCCCATCCCATATGTACCGGCCAAAGGATTCTTAGGGCAGAATGAATCCAAACGAATCCAACGGACGGGTTCACATCCTTCACCTTCACATGCACTCCGCTCGGTTGAAGATTGTTTGGGATTTTTGGGGAGGTCGGTGCGTTCCATACACAGGCATTTATACATGGCTATAGGCTGTAGGTGAAAACAAGGAGACCTTGGTTGACTACCTGGAGGGCTATGCTGGACTGGTCCGGCTCCAGGGTTTGACCCATCCCCACATAGGTGCCAGGACAAGACTCCCCACCACCGAACTGATCTATATAATATAGGGAACATTTCAAAGGGCACTCATCACCCCGAGTTCGGCACACAACTGTTGGATTACTTTTCCTGAAGCATCCTGGGAGGGAAAATAACAGGAAACAAGAAAAACATTAAAAAGAACACTATGAACAAAACCTCTCTGCCAGGGCAACCTCGCAACATGGAATCAAGGGGTCAAAAATCTCTTCGGCATTTCGCCCTGCCGACTCGGATGCCCCTTGTCCTACCAAGCTATCCCTCCACTTCCCATGGATGATGACAGGGAGTGCAAGTTCCAGAGTGTCATTCAAGTTCACGTCTTTGTTTGTTCTTCTTCATGCATGGTGACTCCTCAAGTCGAGGGCCTTGCCCTCGCCAAGTGACGAAGCTGGCCTTGCATGCTGATCTCTTCCAAAGCCTTTTCTGGCAGTGTTCATGTTTGTGAAATTCCAACACATCACATGGAAGTGGCTGGCACCCCCTGAGGACAGTAGTCTTATGTAGTTTTCCTTTCGGGACCATGCCATCCACTTCGTCCATGTTGGTTGTGCCCTCCCCACGGATCCCTCAAAACACCGTCAACAACGGATTCGTTAAGCTGCCTGCACGGTCTCCCATCTTCTCCCGGTCTCTCACTCTGGCTGGGGAATCGACTCTTCACTGTCCAAATCACTCCCCTGCGCGGATGAACTGATGGCGATGGCGTCAGTGAAATAAGGGGGTCACGATGATTTCCCCTCATTGATCAGCCTCTGAGTCAATGAGAGGAAATCATGGAACATCGGCTAATTATATAGGAACATCCACAAGATCCTAAAATGATTTAGATTTGGTATTTCGAGGGCTTTAGGAACTGCTAAACGCCAGAAATACCACTGGTTTCTCAAACAAGAAAACATCCGGCACCACCCGAATTCCCACTACATATGCATCAGCAGGGTGGATCCAAATGTCTACACAACCCTCAACAGTACAAATCATTGATGCATATTGGTGCTCTTTGGGAAACAAAAGGGGGGTCCATTTGCTACCTTTATTATACTGGTTGTTCACCTGGGGGTATTCCCTCTATCAATCAACCCTAAAAGGCCATCTACAAGTCTCCTGGTCCTTCCACGGCTCCAGTCCGAGCGTTGATGCTCGATGGTCCAAACGTTGGGAATCTCAAATCATGTCCTAAGAATCCATGCCTCAGCCTAGGAACTGAAAACCGGATCCATGTTCACATGCTGTTCGAATCAGAAACCTGAACACATAAGTGTCCAATCCGTATGGCTGTTTTATGGATCACATCATTTTTGATCCGTTGATGACGTTTGATGTTGATGGGCAGGCGCCGCCCTTCTCCCAAGAAAGTATACCCAAACCCTCCAAGTATGCAAATATATAGCCTACATGACATCTGGAATGGCGACCTGGCTGCCCGGAAGCGGACCATGGAATCATCCTGAAGAATCAACCAAGGGGATGAAGAGGTTGGTGTCAGGACCCCCTTTTGCGGCCCGAACTCCTGCCATGGAGGGCCAAAGGATTCGGAATCTTCAACAAGTCCACATCGAATTTCGTGCCAACTCCCAGACCTTGACCCAAACTGAACAAAGTGAGTCCCTGAAAATGCAGCCTCCAGCAGTATAACGACTTCTGACGGGTGAACCAGGGTGAAGAATGACGGCTCGCAATTGGCCATGACGGCTAAGCAGGCGTCTACCGGGCAATAAAAATCATCAAGGGTCATATACCTGCAACCTCATGGTTGTTTCTTTATTTGTTGTGTGTGTGTGGTTGGTAGTTCAAAATACCCGTATTTAGGTAGTGAACCACATAAACGTTAAACATCCGCAACCAAAATAAACATCCGTTTAGAAAACACGTTCGGGAAAAATACGCCTGTGGCTCACCACTAATATATCAGAAAACATCAGAAAACTAGAGAAACATCCGCAAACAAAATATAAGGCCGTGACTCCAAAAAAGGTTTTTCACACCGCAGAGGGAAAAAAAACTCTGAGGAAGTTCCATGCAGGTATCATGCAGTGCCAAATCATATCCCAAACACTCCATATATATGCCATACTTGCCTACATTGGGGTGGTTTCAATAGGTCAATAGGTCAATACCTCATACATGGAGTGTCTGGGTCTCCAGGGTCCGATATTGTGGCGCCAAGCACCCCACCTGTGGGATCAGTGTGGGGTCGAAAACCGCTGTCCTATCAGGTTGCATCGCCTCAGGTCTTGTTGCCTTCAATGGAACTCAGGTCAACCAGATCGAACGAACACCAAGCCGATCTTAGCTGGCCATCAGTACGTTGGCCCGATCAGGACGCGAATGGAATGGGGAACACCCGTGAAAATCGGCCTCTTCGAAGGTGCCCAGACTGGCCTCGAAGCGAAAGCTCTCATCTTCATAGTGAAACGGCTACTATCCATTCCATAGGTTTAACCAAGCATATTATTCAATTCAAGGGGCACGAGACGGGTTTCATCCAAGGGATTCCTGCAGGTATGCCATGGTATGCCCACCATGAATGATGGATTTATAGTGTTGTGATTCAGACACATGCTGATGCTGGAGTGTACCGGCGAAAAAATACATACACCATTAATCTTACACGATCCTTTTCCTCTAGAAAAAGGTGGTTTTCCACTTCCATGCCAGTGACTCGGAGTATATACAAACATAATTCCACAAATATTGCACAATTTCCCAGACACTCCATATATGCCGGGGTGGTGCCAGGGGGGTCAATTGATCGGCATATATGGCAGTCTCATGGAGTGTCTGGGATATGTGACATGTGCCTTTTCCCCCCTGTGCCAGTCAGGGCTCCCTGGTGAGCTGACCAGATTGGTGAGATTCATTCTTGCTTCAGCACGCCCTCAAGTTCAACCCGTATCCCGTATTGTGATGTCCACGTACCAGGGGCCCCATAAACCATCCAAAACCTGGTTTTCCCCAGCAAAAACTTGTTTTTGTATATGAAAACCTCTATGTTTCATGGTTTTGAGGGCCCGGGGTAGGTACTAACAGGTAAGTACTACCTACATTGGGGATTTGACCAACTCTATGGTGTTGGTCGGTCTCCTTGAACCTCCTTGAGCTTGTAACACGAGAAGGTGTGGCCAGCCATGACCATCCCCACAGGTACCCAAGGGTCAAGCACCATCCATGGCTCGGATGTCCTGAACATGGCCCCAACGACGGGAAGTACTCACCCACCATCAGGTACCTGGTCCCTCTTCAGGGGATAGCTATAGATCAAGCAGTCCACCCAGTGTGCAAAGAGGTTCTCTTGGACTCTTAAAGGTTCTCTTTTGGATTCCCACCTGCGACGCAGCTCGATCCAGGGACCCCCGTTGGGACCCCGACAGGCCCCGAGCTCGTCTGTTCGGCTTCTCCCTGTGGCACCCGACAACCGACGAGCCATTCTCTAAGATAATACTCGTTGACCGACATGCACATAGGTTGACTGTCCCTATACTGTACTGTTCCTTTGCTACAGCTCAGCGATGCTTGTCCGGATTGACTGTCGTTCTTCTTGCTTTGCTACAGCGATTTGCGATGCTTGTCCGGACAGGTTGCCAAGATCTTTCTGCCATGAAGGCCATGATCCCGGTAACAACCCTGATCGGATGATCGAGTGGGTGTCCAGTTCATACAGCAGTCTCTAGAAAACACTCGTGCCAGAATCAGTTCTGGAGTCTGGAGCCTGGGCAGAAAAAAGCACATGTTCCCAAACAATCCACATCCCTAGGGCTTTAGGGCTCCAGTCGTACCTTTGTTTCAAAAGTGGGACTGGGGGCCGTGCCAGGGAGGTACGTCCAGTCATACCGAAGCGTTTCGGATGTATGACGCTTGAGCCCGAAAACGGTTGGATTCACATGAAACGGTGAGATCGTTGATATCGGCGAAGAACGTTATCGAGAGTGAGAGTGTTCGGTGATCAATGGTTGGATGAACGCGTCTTAGGATGTCTTAGGTCTTATTTATGATTATTTATGTCTCCCAGCACCTTCTCGGAGGGTAGATGGATCCGGGTGAGAGGCCCAAGCTTCTCGGTCTATGGATCCATAGGGGTACACTGATCCCCGCTACGTCGACCTCTACCAGAGCTCTCATCTCGCTGGTCCACCGCCAAGTCCAAACACCGCTTGAGAGACTTGGCCTACATTAGTAGTCTTGGGGGGTCAAAAGTCACACAAATATGTATATATATATATATACCTCCAGGCATCGCGTGTTCAATAACCTAGGCAAGTGCAAACTGGACATGATTCTTTTTCCACACACACATAATATAATATGACAATTTACCAGGTTACCAGGACCTTCAAATTGACCGAACTTGAGATCCCAGGATGAGGTCACGAACAGGCCTATTAAAGGTCACTGGATAAGACTCCAAAGAGGTCACTTTGAGGGTCCTGGTATATAACCCGCCGCAAACTCACATGGACCTCTGATAAGCGTTGCAGCGACCGAGGAACACGGGTCTGACTGAGGGTGCCACTCGACCCAGGCTGGGCATGGATGTTTTTTCTTTGGATCAAATGCATTTGGATCACATATGTCTTATGATATCTTATGTAATTCATATGGGGTGTCTGGGATAAGGTCCGGTGTCAACGAGTGGGACTTGGACAGCTGTTGGCATCCTAAAGGATGGCTAAGGGTTGATAGACCAAGCCTACCATGAGGTGACCATCCGATAACCATCCTGCTGGTGATGGTAATGACATAGTAACACTATAGTAACACGTTATTGTGTGGATGTTTGAGTCAGTGACATTGCACACCGTCATTTCCGGATTTTGAGGTACAAACCTCGCGACCTCTCAGCGTCCATTCAGTGCATTTGGCGGGGCAACTCCGTGATGCTCGGAGCCTCCAGTTGGAAATTGAAGTTTGCCTGCCAGGCTCGTCTGATGGTGCTTAGCTCGGAGAAAGGAGTCTCCGAATTTGGAGGCAGCATGCCCATGTCCTTCTGATTGGTACTTGGGGGGCTTTTTGGAATGACAGGTCATTGGAATGATCCAAAATAGGTAAAGAAGGATGGTAAAGCTTGACGTTGGAACCTCTATTTATTGGAATGGCATTGGTTCACATTCCCTTCTGGTTCCGAACTTGGAACATCCAAAATCGAAAGTGCACGTGAGCACGGGCCACCCACGGTCATCGGACGACTGATGAATAGCGGTCGTGGAACCTTGAAAACCAAACCATGGCAGTCCAAGACGATGTTCAGAGAATGTACACCTTGGAAGACTAACATGGAACCTGAAAACCCCTGGTTGGTAGATGAAAATAGTCTTCCATGGGACCATTGTCAGGGTCTATGTTAGTTTTCGGGAGTATATTGTTTTTTCTTGGTGACCTTAAGTTGAGGAATTTCATGGCAATTCCAAGTGCGCTTCAGGGAGAAAAGAGCGTGGGAACTCGACTTGAACAATGAAACAAAGCTCCAAATGAGCATATGACGTGTAGAACAATGAACTGACTATGACTGACTTCCAGCATCTTCTAGTATTAAAAAACAATCATTCTTGAACCCCAAGCCCAGGTTCGTCTGGACCTCCCACACCTTCCGACCTCCTCGAAAAGGTTCAGGAAAGAGATCAGTCTACCATTTCCATCCATTTCCATCTACCCAATCAGTGCTAGAAGGTCTCACTCTTACACCCTCAGGTGCTTTCACCTCTTGTCCCCCCTCCTATCCAAACGTGAGAAGTGGCGCATTTGTGGCGTATGATGTGCGGAGCAAATCCGCCAAGGAAGACGTGGTCAGACACGCGCCGCGTGTTTCAAGTGCCTAACCTGCGATTAAGTTGAGCAATTCTAGACGCCTATAGGATTCTATAGGATCAAAGAAACAGCACCAACTAAACACGTCGCCATCCCCAAGATTCTTCACCTGTTTGGATCTGCTTGCTTCCATCCACCAAAAAGCTCTCAGTTCTTGGGCTCGAAAGGCTTCGAGCTTGCCAAAGCCGCGAACCTCACCCGGGCGGCGCAGCTCGAGCCCTTTTTGATTCGAGTGAGCCGGGAGGTCCCGATACGTGGAGGCCGGAGAGTCCTGGAAGGCGAAACCCGGCGAAATGGGTCGTTCGGGTGTTGGGTCACGCAGGTAGCCAAACGAAACTCTGAGGATTTGCCGATTTACGTATATAGGATGAATTGAATTTGCAGCCAGGACATTGTACATCTCATCATGTCTCTATAGCCGTACTTATCTAGCTCAGCATGTCTAATCCAGCTCCTGAAGCCTTCTCAGATCTCAGATTCCTTGCTGAAAATAACAAAAAAAGGTTTCTTCCCTCCCATCAAGCTCAGTCAGGAGGTCCAGGATCACCTCAGCTGGCCTAAGGCCACGGCTGAGGCTTTTTTACCCCACGGGTCCTAGACCTTGGCCACCGCGAGCTGCGTGAAGCAAGATTCGGAATCCTCGCAGCTCTTCTTCTTGTCGTAGAAGTACTGGGCCTCGAGAGCTTCAATCCACTTCAACCACCCCCAACAAAAATCCCAACTATCTTACCCTTCCGTTTCCGTGGTTCAAATAGAAGCTCTATTATTCATCGACCTGTTCGTTCCGAGTTCCCCCACAACCCCCCAAAGTCGGCTTTGGCTCGCTGGATTTTTAAGCTGCCCTCCTGGCTCTGCGAACAAATAGAACTCCCACCTGCCCCAGCAAGCCAACCTGGGATTCCTCAACCCCGGCCGATGCTCCGCTGAGGATGCTCTGTTGTAGATATCATATATGATAATATATGGATGGATAGATCGGGTCAAAACCGTTCGAACCAGAAAACACCGATAGACAGATGATAGATAGATGATACATGTGTGAAACTACGCCTGACCTGGACTCCTAGAAAATACATAAACTCCCTGGGGAAATGAGGGACGTTCTTCCAAAGAAAAGTCTTTATACCCTAAGGGAGGCCGATTGGTGGTAAAGGGTGTCCATTAGCTCCAAACACCATTCTTTGGGGCGTGGATGGCTTTAGTTAGATGCAGCCGAACAGTTTCAGTTGCACAAATCACTTGTGAAGCGGAAGTGGGAAATAAGCCACTGGAAGACTATGTTTCTTTACAAGACAGGTGGTGACTCCACGTCCATCTTATTGAATTGCAAAAGATGCGCGCTCCCTGGAACAATCATTATGGACGTGGAATATCCCCTGTTCATGGCGGAATATGCTCATCCAAGGGACCATTTTCCACTTCCATGATGATTCCAGAAGTAATTCAACCAATCTAATCGGGTCCTTCCTCATGTAGCTCCAGGTCAATACCTTTGATTCTGCTTTCGAAGCAGTGGAAGAAATAGAACATCTTCCCCAGAGTTTGAGGATTGACCGTTAGCAACTGGCCTCAGAAAATCACACAAAAACCAGGAATCTTAGAGCCAAATACAACCTTTCTGGGACTGGCTTGAAACGGGGTCGGTTAGCATCATGTAGCCACAAAGAATCAGCCGTCCGGGTCCCATGCATACCACTTCGATGGAAGGGGTGGCAAGGAGCCAAGCCAAAGCCCTTGGATCCCTTTTTGCATCCATTTGGATCCCTAAGATCCTTCTCCAAAATCACCCTGTCGGTCCAGGAGGGTGAATTCTGCCATGCCCTGGCTGCATGGGCCAGCGAGCTGGGTTTAACGGCGATCCGGAATTCTTGGACGACTTCCACGTTCCAACATCCCGGTCACCAGAAGGTTTCAGCGGCATTAAGGCTCCCAGTCCGCAAACCTCGCAAAAGTTCTCCAAAAGGTGAGAACCAACCGCCCCCCAATCTATTCCAAACACCTTCCCCTCAGTATCATGAGTTGATCTTTGTTCTTTCCGAGCCCTGGGGACATGGACCAATTCGATGCACCAGTCCCCGGCAGTCGCAGTCCCAGTGACAGGCTTGTAGCCCTCGGGAGGGCGAAGCTGCACCAGGTCCGAGCCAAAGGGAACGCCCCTTGGGTCCGACGGATGGTGTCGACCGGGGCGGTTCGCGGCATGGACGCAGACGTCGCTCCAATACGAAACATGAGAGATGGAGACATGGTGGACTCTGTGGACCCAACCATTGAGCTATCCCAAACACTCCATGGGACTGCCATATATATGCCGATCAGTTGGGGTGGTTTGAGGGGTCAATGGGGCGGCATATATGGCATACATGGAGTGTCTGGGTATTATGTGAAATCGATTTCTCCTTTCCAGCTCAGCTCAGTAGGCTTTTCTGACCCCCCCCGTCAGTTTCCGTGGAACATGCAGGATGTGGGTGGGGAAGCATGGGGAAACCAATCGCCCAATGCCAAGGTTTTGCAGGTGATCTACGGAACTCCTGGGTAGGTGGAGTTGGTGGAGAAGTACTATGCAACGCACAGGGTTTCAAGCTATTCATGATCCAAACACGGATGGATTCCCCAAGGCCCCCCACAACTGCTGTAAGTAGGGTACCTTCCACACTCCAGCACAGCCCAAAGTGGGATTGAACTCTTGGCCTATTGTAGGCCTCTTTCCGTTGGACCTCCGGGCGCTTGACCCCTGACCGTTCTCTCATGTTCTAGCGACTTCCGAAGTCACTGGGTCTATGAGATGTCTACCAGGGCCCCCCAAGGGGTGTCCAATTATAGCTCCTTAGAGGTTAAGGGGTATCCATTAACCACCCCGAAACGGGGGCCTGGTAGAGTCATCGTTTTTCGGGCGAACAGTCCCATCAGTTCGTGGATGGACGATCCGCCACTGAGGTGTTTGGTTGGATTGAACGCATCCGCTGATGTCCGAAGGCTGTAAGGTCCAAACCCTATCTGTTTCTCGATGGAATGTGGCTCCAACACCCAATGTGAACACTCGAAGGGTCCAACTCCATCGATGCTTTGCATCCATCCATCGATGCTCTGCAGCTACGTACATCCACCATGCTAGCAGCTTCGTGGCGATTTCTGGGAGAGTCCACCGTCCGTTGGTCTCCCAAAACGCCCCGAGACGCGCGAAACACCCCGAATTGGCCCCCCCCGGTGCGTCGCACGGTCGACCGTCGCCCTTTGCCGCACGGGTGCGTGAAGGTGATCCAGCCGGTGCGGTTGGCTTCTGGGCAAGTCGCCGCCGTCCCGGAGACGAGACGGGAGAAGGGTGAAGGCCGGGGTCGGCCGGGGCGAAGTAGCTCTTGAATCCTAGGGCTTAAGTGTAAAGCTATAGAGCTATAGATAGCTATAGGTACAGGGGAAACACTAAGTCACTAAGTTAAGTCATGCCTAAGTCCTGCCTAGGTGGCCTTTCTGTATGGCTTGGACTGGTTTGGGTGGGTGGGATTCGTAGAAGGTCATGAGTCATGACTATATATACGTCGATCTGTAGTGGTGAACGTCTGCGTGGGATGCAGGGATGCCGAATGGTAGATCCTAGAAATCCACAGCCTCTTTTTGGATCTTTTTGGAACCATCCAAGTTAAGGAACGTTTGTTCTCGGTGGGTCATCTAAAGTTATCAAGACCATGTTTAACTGCTTAAGTAGAGTATACTTGATTAATTGAGTGTTGGGCTCTCAAGGCTGGAATGCTCAGAATGTGCAAGTGGCTCTAGACCTCTGCACCAGCTCGTCAGGCTGGCACCGGGTGAGGCCATGTCTCTATGTATGTTTAGGCTTGGATGTTCAACACCCATGACCCATGGCACCCCTCGCTTCCCGGAAAAACAAAGGTTAACCTTCTCTCAAATGATCTTAAATGTGCATTAGCAGTAGGGAATCCCAATCCACAGAACATCCTAAGCGTGCTGAGTACCAGGGCAACCCAATTGCATCATTCCTAGTTCCTTTGTCCAATTGCCCTTTCATGCCATGGCACCAGACATGCCAAAGAGGGTCGTGCTGTCGGAGCTCATCGCCCGCACTTGCATCTGAGGAGGAGGAGGGCTGCTTCAACACAGTAGATCCAAGACCCCCTCCACAATCCCCAAATATCCCCTAAGGCCCCAGGGAATGGGATCTGTATTTTACAGGATCAGCTCTAATAGTACTAACTACCTAGCTAACCCTGCTAGTCCGGTAAGCGCTACCTTTTGCTCTACCTTGAGAGTCAACGCTACGGGGTCCATGGGGATGAGGTGAATTTCAACAGGATCGAAAAAGGCCCACTAGTAGTTCCAAAACAACTCATAAACAACCGAAACGGACCCCTGGTAGTGCACTACTAGTGGGAGTCTCTGGGGTCTTCAGCTGATCTTTGGTTCGTCTGCTCTTGATGGGGCAGCAAACCCGCTGCAGCCCAGAGCGTCTCTGGCTGAGGCACAGTTGACGCCTGAACAATCCCCAAAAAAGCGCGCTCGCGGTGGCAAACCCCATCCAAACGTTGATTCCAAAACCAAAAAAACATCCTTAGTACATGGCATGCAGACCGATCGGGTTGTCGTTTGAATCATTGAAGGGCCGAGTACATTTCATGATGTAGTGCCAAAAAATCACAACCAACGCTGCAAAAAAAAACGAGTACATTTCACATTAATTCCACCAAAAACCAACGCTCCAAACACGCCAAAACTCTGTCCTTCTGCTTCGTTGATTTCTGGCGATCACGGGTCCCGTCCACAGTCGTCTCACTCGTGGGCACCCCAGACACCGCCCCCAGCGCACCCCTCGGAGCGGCATGTCCACGCGTGGGTCGATCAACTTCACCTTGCACACAAGCACTGGAACTGGAAAAATAGACATCCCAAACATACCCCTTCCAATTAAGTCCGTGGGTTGGGCAAGTCCATTTTATAGCACCATTCATGTTCTTTTTCAAGCACTGGCCCCCCTTTCACCACCCCAACTGATCGGCATATATGCAGTCCCATGGAGCGTCTAGGTATTGGAAGCCAAAGGAGAAATAGAGGAACAAAAGGAGGACATCAGTTGAAAGTTCATGTTCCCATAGTGGAAATAACATGAAATAACAATCCTACCATAGAATCAAAGGGAACAACAAATTGCATTTATGTTAGGGGACAATCCTACCATAGAATCAAAGGGAACCACATATTGCATGGTAAATATGATTTTTAGGTAACATATGGCAATGGGAAAATACATTGAAACAACTAAAAGCAAAACCAGGTCACGGACAAACTCCAGACCTGTTGTCCAGCCTCTCGCATCCTCAGGGCTTAGCGTGGTGCATGGCAGGCTACGCTAGACGCGAGGGATGCTGGGCGTTGAGGGTGGAGGGCCATGAAGCCCTAGGGCTCCAAGTACCTTCTGAGAAGGTGGGACTGGGGTGGGTTTGGAGGGTGCGGAAGTACTTGGAGCCCTAGGGAAGATGACCACCCGGGAAGGTCACTATCGCGGTCACTCCTTTGGTCAGTTTGAGGTGCTTTGCATGCCTCCCATCAGAAGCAATCAGAAACTTTTGGTGAGCATGGAGGATATGACATTTGGAAGTGCATGTGACATGGCCCCCTGTTGACCAAGACTCCACTATACCAACGCAGGGGCAATTCCACTTCCACGCCGCTAGGGTCCCCGCGGAATCGTGGTCCCGCGGTCGCCTTTCTATGACCAGTCCAATCCCCTTCGTTCAACACCGAAACGGTTCCAACAGCCGTTCATCCGGATGTCCTGACCCCCCTGACCCACTTCGCTTGGAAGGTTCAACCGCCCAGGAGTTCATCAGGAATCTGGGCATGGTCCCGTAAGAACGACGTTTCCTTTACGAAAAAGCAGGGGTGTGTTCTGACTTCCATTATTCCAGGGGGTGTTCCGCTTCATGTTGCAACTAAGATGGGAAGTGGAGTTCAGCACCTGTTTTGAAGAGAAAGCATCGTCTTCCAGGGGCCTTTGTTCCACTTCTAGTGAGTCCGAGTGTAGGTCCTTGAGACTCAATTCTTGCTCAGCGACCTGATCGATACGAAACCAGTGTCTGTGTTCGTCCATGATGGAAGCTGTCACCCTGTAGGCTTCCAACCACCATTGATTTACATTAACTTATACTCTAACGAAACCACCAATAGATTTGACTACCGGAATATCTCCCACTGTTCACTGGTCAACCATTTTAATTTTGTAGATGGTGGAGGGCATCAAGGCTTCAGCTTGGACATGAAGGGGCCTCTCCTTGCGGCTCGGGTGACCTGGGAGTGGAAGCCCCATTTCCCAAGGCATGGATGTGTTCGTTGCGTCAAACACCAGCAGGTCAAGTTGGGATGCACTGGAAACCACCAGGTTTGGACCAAGACACGAATTCTGCTTGAATCGAAACTTGGATGCGCTAAAAACCATCACTCACACCTGACACCTTTGGCACACCAAGGGACACCTTTGGCACTGTGATGGTCCTTAGCAACGACGACGACTTGGTGGATGTCTGAAGAAGTTGGACCGCATCGTCGGAGCCTCCATTCAAGTACATCATCCCTCGTTGAACATCCCAATGAAGAACGGGTATACAGGATACTACTTGCATTCTGTCTTGTTAAGATACTAAAAGATAGTAATGTACGGTAAGTATATTATTGTATATATATATATATATAAGCAACGTATGTGTGTGTCTCCTTCTTGAAATCTAAAGTAAAATTGTCTAAGACACTTGGGGAGTCCAGGTGCAAAAGGGTAGCGTTGGTGGGAACATGCAAATTTCAAGCCCCCTGGTTTGACCTTTGATAGATTTTGATAGCGTAATATCCGGATGCCATTGAAAAGTGGAGCTCATGATATCCTATCCTTCCTCATGACCACAGGACTTCTTGTTCAGCGGTGCCCGGTCTACCGAGCGTCGAGGTCTCGACGACGTCGGCACCCAGCGTGCTCAGCTCCGCAGGGAGCCCACTGGTCCAGGCCAGGCACTTCGGAGACTGCGGGGGCTTCGCGGGGCGGGCGCACGGTTCGGGGGCAGGAGAGTGGCCCGGGGGTACAAAAATAGAACGAGACTGGGGGAAATCAGGAAAAACGGGGGTTGGTAGGGACCTGGACAAAGGAAGGATTCAGCTCCCTTCACCCTCGAATTTAGTGGCTTGGTGACTTCAGTGGTATGCCCTCACTACGCACATCGCCCCAGCTGCTTTTGGTTCAAGGCTAGCAGAAAAAAGAAAAAGAGAGCTTTCCCGTGCAAAAGGCAAAAGCCATCCCAATTCCACCGATCTCCTCAACAAAAGTTTTGGACTGATCCAAACAACCTTCTTAATACAAAGCACTACCCTCACTACCCAAGACTGGCATACACTGGCCCCATGTTTTACTAAGACCAGGGGATTTTTCTCCACTTGGCACGAAGTTTTCCACCGGAAAATGCCATTATATAAACCGTTTACCACTTGCTCCCTTAGTGGAGAAACCCATCAATCCCCACTTAAAAGAAACAGCCTTTGCGGACGATCCACCTTTTCTGAGTGGGGTGAGACTGTAGACCAAACATGCTCAGGTCCATTGGGGTGCCTTGAAGGGTCATAGCTGCACAATGCTGCACAGCTGCATCATGCAGGTCAACAGCTTCCGACACTCTCTACACTCCAACTCACATGGAACCAGGCGACTGGCATGGACCAGACTGGAAAACGATCTTCCTCTACAACCCGACGTGGTTTTCAGGTTCCATGTGGACCTCTTCCCGGGATTCCCAGCCTACATGGAGTAATTGTGCCCCAAATTCACGTGACCCGCAGCGGCACGCGGCGACCAGACCGAGCTCCAGAAGCGAAGCGTGGTAGTCCAGTGAGTAAGTAGAGCATCAGAAGCGTAGACTAGGATAAAGCAGCTCTAGTCATATGACTTGCAGCACTAGTGATCGTGCTCCACTTCGGATTCTCTTGGTCCAACTCGCCCACTCACATCCCTCGGCTCCCCGGAAGTTGAGCCGTTCTCGGTCTGAGACCATCCTTGGTTTCTGTATAGGACTTGTACAGCAGCCCCACATAGCCGCGGCAGCCCGAAAAAAGGGGCTCCTGGGGTTTGGCGGGTGCCAAGGTGGAGGGTTTGCATGGAGAAAGACAATGGGAGGACACCTCCAAGATGGGGCGAACTACATCATACTGGGCAATTGACAAAGGGCTCAGAGATGGACCCAGTGGGATCGAGCGAGAACTTGTTGGGGAAAAGTGATGAAAAAGTCATGACGTGCCCAACCGCCCAAAAAACAGAAATGGTCAAGACTCTATATAGAGCAAAGTATGATGTTTCTGACACATTTGGAGTTCCACTTCCATCACAATTCTTACGCCTCAAATCTGGGCTCTGGGAAAAGGAACAGCTACTGGAGCTATACTTTTCAGTCAGGACTTGGACAGTGGCGTGACCGTTTGAGGTCAGGAGGGGCAACCAAAAGTTCTTGAGAGATCCACTCCGCGCCCCATTAGACATATAAAATCCGCTTGAATCCGGTGTCTTTCCTCCCCCCTAGGCCCTAGGGGATTCCTGGTCTACCATTGATTGAATGGGTTTACCAAACAACCCTTGTTTGATGCCAAAGGAGTTTAGACACATAAGCCAGGTCAACCAAATGATGGTCTCCGAAGCTCTGGACGTCCAATCATGACTCATGACTCACTATAGCCCCTTGTAGAAGTGGTGAATCATTACTTCCAGGGACTCCTGGATAAGAGATGATAAAACAGGCTCAGCAAGACTCCCTCGGTTTCCCTCAGTATTACACATGTTCATGTTTAATGAGGTGGGGCGCCCCCCAACCCCAATAATGCTTGTGCAGGCTAATTAGCAACCTTTCGTGGGAAGGCAAAGCCCCCCCCACGAGGTGCTAAGATGGGCAAGGAATTCCAAAAAGGCTCCTCACACCCTAGGGATTCACATACCTTCTCAGGAGGTACTTGGGCCATCCAAGCCTACATAAATAGTCTCCAATCACCTTCTGAGAAGGTACGACTGGATCCCTAGGGACATGGAAAGATCCCCACTTTCCGAGTCAGTCCTTCTCTCGTGGAGAGGCGTCCACCACGATACCATGGTCCTCCGAGTTCTTCTTACCTCAGCGGAACTCGCGGGTTTGAGAAGGGCAAGGTGACTGGGTGGGCTTCATTGGACACCAAACCATCCATTGTAATGTGTGGAAGAAATACTGCCTTGCATTTGGCTCGATATCATATAACACAGTATACTACAGTAGTGTAATGTATGAAATATATATATATAATGTGAGTGTAATGTATGAAATAATGATGGCATCTCCCACAGATCGACCGTACCAGGCCTCACTGTACCGAGCTCCCCATGATACAGCTCGTCCCCCTGCATCATTCGCGTGGGACTGGCGTGAAGCTTCGTGAATCCCCTGAGTCTCGGGGAGGATGCTGGTGAGCAATTGCTACATTTATCGGCTTTTAGTTTATATTTATATATATATATTTATACTTATTATGTAGTTATGTGCACACCAGGAGAGACAAGAGGGTTGTGTTTAGTCCGTGGATAGTGGGCACCCGGCCCATAATCTCCAATAAAGCACCTTTTGGAACTGCTGGAGTATATCATAACTGATTACTTTCCATATATATATATATCTAAGGGCAGTGAACTCTAGCTAGTCATATCATATGCAATCTAGAGTCTGGGGAAAACTGGAAGCCAAAGGCTCGGTGGTATGTGGGTCTCTAGCTGGTGGGTGCTTGCAACTCACGTGACAATTATGAGTCAGTGGGTTCAATCATCCCACGTAAAGATTGAACATTAAAAAAAAACTTAAACCACCTAGGATCTAGGACCTAGCTAGTTGTTTAGTTGTTTATGAGTTTCTGGAGTGAAAGCAGCCCTTCACTTAGCATTTGCCCGACCGTGGGTTGCGAGCGCCGAGCGTCAGCAGCGGAATTGCTTGCCGGCCACGTGCAGGACTCCGGGACCCGTGAAGTGCGGCGTCAGATCCACCTCGGGCCAACTTCTTGCGGCGGTGTTGCGTCGTTTTCGTCGAGAAAACCTCGGTCCAACGTCGGATGGAAACCATTCCCAATACCCTCTGAGGTACTTGGAGCCCTAGGGATTGTGATGTAGTGAAAGTCAAGAAGGTTCTGAAGTCGAAAAGGAAGCAACTGAAGTAGAGAGTGAGACTACTTCGAAACAGGAAAACCTATAAGATCACATAAATGAATTGAAATCAACACATTCATGCAGATTCGAAGAAATCAGGAAATATAAACTCTATGGGGAGCGCTCTTAGTATGGCCTGGCGGACAAGAAATCTGTTGAACTCTTTAAACCCTACATTGAGGTCATCAATGCGTTCAATGTACGCTACGCCAGTAACTACCTGGAGTCGACCCGTTCGTAACTCGGGAAGATGGGTACAGTCGTACTTGTTTTTTATGGGTTCATGTCCCATTTTCTAAGGTACTTGATGTCGGGTCCAGGTATATACATGATGTGTTTAGGACAGATCCTGAGATCTCCGAGTTCGCCGCTCCAAGTCGCCAGCTGGTCCAGGACTTGCGTCACCGAATCGCCGGACACGTCCATCTGCTCCACCTGATCCTTTCGGATGGCCAACGCCAGCTGCGCCAGGAGGGCAAGTCCCAAACGGGTCATGGTGAAGACCTTGGCGCCAGCGCACTGGAGGCCAGCAAACAGCAAACAGCAGGCTCTAGATTTCCATTGGCGGAGACAAACGAGGAGGTAGAATTCAAAAACTTGTGCATGCGCCAAAGCACGCTTTTAAGTTAAGCATGATCCAACGGTTTGATGCGTGTGGATGGGGAAATTGTTGAATTCATTCTACCAACAGGATCCAGCTTCACCGGCGGAGGGTTGAAAGAAAGGGTCGAGGGTGAAAAAGAAAGGGTGAAGGGAGAAAAAACACACGGTGAAGGGTGAAAGAAACATGCTACAGGGTGAAAATGATAGGGTGCAGGGTGGAAACAAATGGTTTTAGAAGGATGAGGAAAAAAAAAGGTTCGAAAGGGGAATCTTGAGGATGAAAAAACAGGTTTCGAGGGTGGAAAAAGAGGGATGATGAAAAATACTTTGTTCAAGGGTGAACAAAAAAGGGAGCCCTTCCAAGAGCTGTCTATAAATAGCCTCTTAGCGTTTGAGCGGCTTGGAAGGTGGTGGAAATTCCGATTCTTCCAATTGGCTTCGCCAGCACCCCGATGAGCGCCCCTGCTCACTCCCGTCCCATCCAACTCCTTCATGCTCACTCCCGAGGAGTAGATCACCCTGCTCAAAATGAGGCTTGTATAGCCAAACTTTCCACCTGTCTTTGTTCAGTGAGGTGTCCCCAATCTCCAACATATTAAAACGTAACGGTTATTGCAGTTTATCCACGTTTTTGTGGGTAGATCGTGCTCACTTGCAAACCCAGCCGCGGGAGAAAGTCTTCAAACAACGACGGAGCAACGAGGGAGATTCGAGTCAGCTCTCAGCAACGGAGGCTGCGCGAGAGATCCGCCACTGGTCAAATGTCAACTCGATTCTTGGATTTGCTTCAAGTAACCTGGAAAAATGAACTTTTCCAGAAGAGGGTTGACCCATAGGGAAAATGGACAATCACCTTCAGGAAAACTAGGGATTGAAACACTTGGTTGGACCAAGTTGGAGTGCACATACCATATACAGCCTGAGCGTGAACCTGCCCCCTTTTTGTAAGTTTTACTCACTTTAATGTATGACGAACGAGTTGTATCACCGGAACTGGAACCGATAATAACCATGGCACCATGGATATTTGAAGGGAATTGACATTCTTTAGGGCCTAGCCTAGCTTGCGAAGTTCTAGGGCCCAGGGTGTCTCAAGTTTCAAACCTCAATGTTGCAGTGTTCCCCTTCATGGGACCTGTGTTCTCCCAGAAGCATCATGTGAGCAACATCCACAAGCAATACCAACGGAGTTCCGCTTTTGTGTCCATAGGTTATGGCGCTCGCTCATGTGAGATGATATTGCTGTGGATTTCCAAGCTGGTGACATCATGTGACATCCATCATCTACATTTGACATCCGAGCAGCCCAAGGCCTTGGGGAGAAAAAAGTCTCGTGGCCACACTCTCCAATAATTACTCGGACGCTTCTGGACTACTCGAGGAATTTGGCCCGAGCGCATTTGGCGCGAGGAAAACCGCCTGTTTCAGGCCACCAACTGGAGAGCCCGCTTCCTTTGCGCCCAACCGAACAGAGGTTAAGTGACCTTATAGGACCCTACACAGGTACCTATGGGATAGTCTATAGGGTCATTCAACCTCTGTTGGACAAGTCCCAAGCTGGCTTGGATTCGACCTGATTCTCCGCCTCGACCCTCCGACCCCCAAACGGTCGCGAGCCTCCGGTGCCAGTGGGCCACACGCAGCTGGTCGGAGGAATCGGAGGAACGAAGCTGTTTTCCAGGTGACCCAGGATGTTCCCATGAGAAAAGCTAACCTGTGCCATGACCTTCCGTTCGTCCGGTGGTTCTTGGACACCCCGAATCACCTCTAAGAGGCTATGAATAAACACCCCTTGGAGGGTCCTGGTACGGTTGTTGTTGTTGTTGTTGTTGTTGTTGTTGTTGTTGTTGTTGTCTTTGGTGTGTGTGTGTTGAAGGAGGCGGGCTCTCTACTTTGAAATTATATAAGCCCAACATGGTAACATCCTACAGTGTGGGATGTCCGGTTTGATGTCAATCATCTACGCAGGTCGGGGGTCACATCTACGGCTGGCGGCGTGGCTTGACTTCTATAGTCGCACCCGTGGCCGCACCAAACCCCGGGGGGGTCACTCCCTCCTTGATCTTCCACCCGTCTCGACCGTGAGACGCGGTGCGCGGTACGCGGTACGCGCGCCTAAAAACTCCTTCAGGGCCTCACTGAGGGCCAAGCTGGTCGAGATCTCACCCGACCTGACCAAAGGACCCACACGAACTCGCCGGTTGGACTCAGTCGAGTCGACCAGGGGAGGAGTGCCCCACCTCCTTTTCGAAGGTGTTTGGCGTGGGTCTTGTGCCCTTATGGATCCATGCATCGTCTTTATGAAGGTGATTGCACACTTTTGGGATTTCCGGTGCCAAGTCGACTTCCAGTTTTGAAGGAAGAATTCCATTCCCTGGGGTGGATTTGCTCTGAAAATGAACGCCCAGGAAAGCCATCCAAGCTGCGGATAAAACCAACAGCAACAGACTCACTGGAGGATAGAGCGAAGAAAAGGACGCAGAACCAGACCCAAGAAAACAATAAACACAAACAAACGCACGTCAAGAGACATAGAAGTCGATCACAAAACATTAAAAAAGTCTAAACATGCGTTTGAGCCTCCAGTTTCCACTTGTTTTGGTGTTGTTTATATTTATAGGGAGCTGTGTTTTTTGTCTAAAGTCTCGTGCTTTGAGTCTCACTTTATTGATTGCTTTCCGATGACCTGCTGCCTTTTCAGTATTATATAGTATTAATATGTATTCCATGTGTTTTGCCTTTTCTTGGTGACTTCCCACTCACCATCCTTACTTGATGGGCTGTTGGTCAAGAACAAACCTGTTCATTTTAAGAGGGCCGCGAACACCCCGCCGCCAAAAAGGTGCCAAAAGCAAACGGCGAGTGAGTAGGAGCAAACCCTGGAGATCCGACAGACCCTAAAGAGTGGATCCTCTACAATCAATGAATTGGTGGAAACATCTAAGCCATGGTGAAAACAACCCCAAATGCACGGGATTCAACCATAATCATGCATGTTGGAGGCCATCGCTCGTATAGGTTGGAGGCCATCATCATGCATGGAGGCCATGCCTAGGTTGGATAAAAGAACAGCCACACATCTCTGCACAAACGCCTCAGGCCTCATGACCCTTTGCAGCTCTCCGAAGCATCTGTTCTTCCTCGCACGGAAGCCGCCGCGGAGCGAACGTGGGGAGCGAACGGCTCTCCAGTCGCTCAGGGCATTACTAGGAGCAAGGACGCGACGAACGGGGCTCCTGGCATCGTTACTAGGCTATACTAGGAGCATTCTTATTACTAGGAACTACTAGGAACCACTACTAGGAACTACTAGGAGCATTCTTACTACTAGGAACTACTAGGAACAAGCTACTAAGGGCATTACCACTACCATCCACCACCCCACTCCGACACTCTGACCGAGGACATGTGATTCCTGGCGAGCTGGGGGCCTGTGATTCCGGGTCGGAACCCGGGTTGGCAGGGTCTGCCAATGGTCTTTCAGACTGACATCTGAATGACATTTGTCTGGATTCGTCCGTAAATCGCTATGGATCGTAACCCTTCACACATCTTGGGGTACAGTTAATAAATGTTAATAAGATAGCCCGAACACTCCATGTATGGAATACAATTACTGTTACATTGACTTCTGAACCCCAATGTGGACATTGATGTTTCATAGATGGAGTACTTGGGAAAGTAGGAGGTCCGGAAGAACACACATGACAACGAGCTTGCAAGGCACCGAAACCGCAAAAGATCGAGGAACATGCTGAGACTGACCTAAACCTACCCAGTGGATCACATCAAACCAACGGGATACTAGTAAAGACGGGTTGTAGCAGTGGGACGTGCAGTGTCTTGGTAACACAGATGACCGTCTGTGACCCACTTTGCACACCATCCCAGCCGCTTTTCCCTTGTTTCAGGCCGCAGCTTCCAGGTGGAAACTTGGTTTTCTATACTGAACCAGCTTTCTCCCTCTCTATAGCTGTGTGCCAAATCAACAGATTGGCACTTGCTCCATTGCCAACCCTGTTTCCTCTCTTATCCTGGCAGTCTAGCTTGCCACACGCCAGGATCCCCGGCAAGGCTGCTTGCATCTGGGGCGACAGCTGCGCGAATGCATCTCCAAAGCCCTGACGGCACGTCGGAGCTTACACAATTCTAGCAAAACGGGTATATAATTGTGCAAAAAATTATATGAACTCTTGGGATCTCTTAGGCATACCTTTGCCTTAAGTCAGTTCCTACTCACGCACAGTGGTTTGAGAGTAGATGGCACAGGATCCCCAAAATGGTCTTTTGCAGTCCAACCTTTTGGATGGGTCCATGGGTCCATATCCCCCAAAAAGAGTCCACGCCACGTGGGATGTTTTGGATGCCCATCTATGGAAAAAAACCACCGATGCGATCCAGTGCAGCCGGCGGCCGCCAAATCGAACCCCCGGACTCACGTCGGAGTGTTGAGTCTGGAACGGTGCATGTATGGAAACGCTTATTCCCAGACACTCCATGTATGCCATACATGCCGCCCCATTGAACCCTCTGGCACCACCCCAATGTAGGCATATATGGCATACATGGAGTGTCTGGGATTGTTTGCTTCGATGTTTGTGTTTGCCAAACATGCAATGCAATCATTGCATGATCATACATGGATGGTTTAGGATCTGGTGTTCTGGGCGCCTACGTATGTTGTTGGAAAAAAAGCCATGAAACACCACCAAACGCAGGACTCCTGTCAGTTGCATTTGGTCAGGTCTCAACCGACCCCAGGTCAGGTCAGGGCTCATCTTTCAGCCTCACCGGGTCTTGACTCTGGACTCTGGACCCCTTGGGGTCGCAGACTAAGCCGTCCAGCCCCCGGAGTCGTCGCCTCGCCATCTTTCGAGTGAAGCTCGATCTCGACATGCGCCGCCTGGGGTGCAGAGGAGCTTCTGCGACGTAGTAGGGGGGGTGGAGTTCGGGACAGGTCAGGTGAAGCTCATGTCACTGGAGGTTGGCTCGCATTTTTCAGCACTACTCAATGAGGTGCTTATGACCAGGTTTTACTGGGTCAGGCTGGACCTGTAGAGGTTGGTTGCGTTGCTTGCATTGGCTTCAGCTCCATCAATGGAGCGGGCTAGAAACGAGATTCAACTGACCAATGATTGCAGGTGCACTTGCAGGTGCATCTGGGTGGCTGGAGATCGATGGTGCAGGAGAGAGTGTCTATCAATCACAAAGGGGGGGGGGTGTAGACACAAGCTTGTGAATGGCCTTCCGACCCCCTAGAAGGGTCGGAGGACGAACAAAAAAAGTCGTCTACCCAGCGAGGCTGGGGTCTCCTCGGGGTCCTATTCAAATGCACACCCAGACCCAGGCTCCAGTATGTTTGGTATGGGAGGTTCAGTTGGTGGGGAGTCTTCAGCGACTGCAAAGGCAGCATCAGCAGTAGGAGCAGGAGAAGCGGTGGTCGTGGATGGCACTGGCGATGGCAGGAGTGGTAGCAATCGTGGCGGAAGTACTGGTAGATCCTACTTCCGCGTGCAAAACAAGTAGAGCGAGCTTACCCGGCTCAACAGAAGTGTTTCGGGGCCGGCACGTCAGTGGAAATGGTTGAAGTCCAAGTGAACTGCAGGAGGTGAATCAAGTTGCCTAGAGTTCTCCTCGAAGACTCCAGTTCAAGAAGTCATGTTTTATGAAAGTTCCTGCCTCCAATGGATTCTCATCTTCGCGCAAGTGCATCTTGTCATACCTGGGCGCAAGCTGCCACCCACTTGGTGTACAAACAAAAACTGCCACCCACCTGCTACTGCTGAAATGAATCCAAAAATAACGCAGCATGCACCAGCAGTTCCAGGACTGGGCCCCATAGTCTGATCCAGTGGATCATGGGAACCTCGACTTGCCCCTATCCTCCGTTCATTCGACTGTCCGACGTAGTGCCAGACATGATTGCACAAAATCTTCACAACCAGGAGACCCCAAGGGGTGCCAATTGGTGGTAAGAGGTGTCTATTAACCACCCCCTTAGGCTCCAAACAACACCTCTTGGGGCGACCAAGACGTCGACCAAGCGACGTCAAAGGAGTTCAGATCTCGAAAAGTTTCGTTTCAGGTCCAGGGTTCCTACGGTTCCTAGACCAGTGGTTGATATATGAGTAGATGGCACATTTAGATGGACCCCCATCGAAAGACATGTCAGGGTGCCAGTGCCACCTATCTTGAAACAGCATACGTATAAATGTGTTGTGGTGTCCCGCTCTATCTACTGAAGGATCACTGCATGAGCATCATAAGACAAGGTCCCTTTTCAAACTGAGAGATACTCAAACACTCAATCACAAATGTATTTGTGACAATACTTTGTACACAAGAGCCGCTCCCAAAGCATGATTGGCACCACCCTTCCAAACTCATCCATCTTGCCACCAGCGAAACCCTTGAAAGCTGCAGCGGGCCCGCATCAGGGGTAGGGATCCACCCTCATCTAGAGGGGTCTAAGGCAATGACCGGGCCTCTGCCCGGTGAGGCCACCGGGCCGTGACCGGGTCTCAAATCGTAGGGCCGAAACTAGAAAGCTTTTTGCTCCTAATAGTAAGGCCAGGAGCCCCGTTCGTAGTGTTCTTGCTCCAAGTAGCGATACCAGGAACCCCTAGTAGCTTCTTGTGACCTCTGAGACCTGTCTGGCGTTTGGTCTCGACAAACACATCGCGTGGCGTTTGGGTCCTGGCTCCTTGGTTTCGACGATTTCGTCTCGCTTGGCAAATCATATGCGGAATATCTGCATCTACAGTGACCCCTAAAATCATCTAAACTAAATACATGAACCCACCCATCCATGGAGCAAAATAATTTCCAAACACATGGAGTAACTCTCTCTGATTCTCTCTGTGCAATTTTCTTGGGATGCCCCTGAAAAAATCTTTCGGCCCGCTTCATCCACCCAGTTGCGGGTAGCTGTCGGCCGGGTCCTCTTCAGGCGGCCTTGGAAAAACAGTGGAAACGCGGCTCGAAACGGGCGACAGGCGTGGTGAATATCCTTTCATTGTAAAAACCTAAAGCCCGTAAAGCCATGTTTAATTCATTTTAATTCGAGAAGTGGCGAACTAAAACGAGTTTCCCCAAAACAAGATGCCCAAGAAAACCCAAAACTAATGGAACACAATGGAACAAACACCTGGAGAATTATGGTGAAGGAACACGATTCCTGCACCACCTGCAATGGGGGCAACTGTTTTGGGACTCTGCTCAACAGCCTTTAGAATCTTTAGAAGTTGGAGTAAACAGTAGCAAACAGTTAAACACCATGGGCCATGGGTATCCCTTGAATCTATCCCATTGCCAGTAACATTGGATGATGATGGTTAGTAAATGCCTTTCAAATAAAATGGTGATAGACTAGATGCTTAACGACTGTTTCAGGTAATGGGACAGACCCACGGTATCCCTCTAAACCCTGATGTTTTGGCAAGGGCATGCAAGATGTCCTTCACGAACAACGACAAAACCGCTGCATTCGCAGGAAGTGGCAGTCTTGCCAAATGTGTCTGGCACATGTGATTTACATCTGTGGGATCTGTTGGGGCATTGGTCCTTTTGGTCCTCGCAGAACACGAGAAGAGAGTGCATTCTTTAAGGATCAACCCTGAGCAGCAACCGTTGTTTTCCGGGATGTGTTTGTTTTGGACAAGCTGGAAACCTTGAGGCGTCTAGTTGTTTCTATTGTTGGCAACCTATCTATCAATCTATCAGAAATCAATCAACTAACATATCTATCAGTCTATAAAGTATCAATCAGGCAGCATCTATCTATCTATAGTTCATTATTTATTTTTGTCTATCTATCTATCACTATCTATCAATCTATCGATCTATCTATCTATATATCTGTCTATCTATGTATACCCTGCCATTCAAAGACCGTTGTTATAATAGTCTTTGGGAAAGCGCCGTTTTTAGCAGCCAAGGTCAGTTTCAAGGTGTTCCAATGACCATGCTCTGTGTGCATATGGGATGTTGTCTCAAGATGTTCACCAACATTCACCAACAAATACCAACAAAACACCTTCATAACCTGTCATATCAAATCATGTGGGATGGATTGCATTGTGTTCATTTTTGCACCTTGGCTTTGCGTGTGCTGATGCATATGCCGATGGTCGATGGTGCATTGGTGTCCACAGCTTTGATGGGGCGCCTGGGGCTGCACATCAGCTGGATTGACTCTCAACTCTCAACACATGGTGGTTTTCTCCTTGTTATTGGTCCACCCCAGGTGATGCCATCGCATGAGAATCAAACGAGCGTTGAAGCGCAGCCCCTTGGGTGGCATTAACGTTGGTCTTGGGAACCGCCCTTAGACAATACACCAAAGACTCCAAGTTTGATCTTGATTCAAGTATATGCGCAAACAAATGGCTTTCCTGACCGCAGCTAACTCCCAATGACCCAGGACTTGCATCAGATATCAGTCTTGGAGAAGCCCAATTAACACATCCAGGTGCCGACTGCGACGCGGACTGGAGGTGGATGGCTTCAGTCAAAGGAATCAAACAATTTTGCCACAACATGTTTACAGACTGAGTCTTGGGGTACAAAAAGCTTGAATCGAAGTGTCTATTTTGCTTGGCATCCCCCCGCTATGAGGTTCAAATTTTGTAGAACGTTGTGGGGTCATCCGAAACCCAGCTGGCCCTTCTGCGACTTTTCCACCAGCAATGATGGCTACTGCTGAAGATCGCTTGTCGCTCCTGCAGGAATTTCAGCAGCAATCCATGCAGAACGTGTTTGTTCTCTCTCCCCTCCTCCCACCACTTGATATAGAGGGGCCCATAGAGCACACATCAAATCACCTTGAACCAACCACCTAGGAATTCTACAGGGATATCCTGGACAAGGGCGACTACATTCCAACGCGGAAGCAAGAGCTGAGGAAAAAGGCTGGACTACGTGAGAAGGATGTCAGAGTCACTCAGCACCCACCCACATGCTTAAGAGTCATGATTTATTTGTTTGCTTGATGTGCATAGGGAACCTGCAATTCATAGTTGTTTACCATGCATGGCTGTGCGCACTGATCCAAGGTGGTGCCATTTGCATTTGTAGACCGGCTTTCCACTTCAGAGAATATCCGTGACTATGAGGTACCTGAGATTGGTTTTAGTATTTGTTGAAACTGAGAATCACCTCATCAACAAACCTGGTTGGAATGGTGTCGCGCAAACCTCATGTGCACTGCGCCGCACAAGGTGGAACGCTCTGAGGGGAACCTGTCATTCCTTCTGGAGTTCTTGGCCCAATTCTGTGAGAGAATCCCCAACGACCAAGAGCACGAGGACACAACTAATTCTAGAATGTCCATGCACACCATTGAAATGATTGAAACAAGGCCTTTTGTTTTCTTAATTATTTTCACCGTATCCACTGGGCACTCTTTTGTTTGAGCCCAGAACTGATTCCCCAGGAGGCATTGGTGTGGGCAAGCATGACCTATTGCTTGAACCCGCACCTGAGGTCTGAAGGTGAGCAAAGGGTGTCTTGTCGCAAAGGGGTTGGTAAACTGTGTGGTGCTAATTTGACATGCGTTCCATTCTGAAAGTTTGGGGCTGCCTGTGCTGCAACATGTTGCAACTAGGCTTGGGCGAGCGTCGAAGCTGGGGTTCAAAGAGCCCTAGCTGGCTACTGCATGATGCGGTTTCAGAAAACCAAGAATGTACGGTGGCTCTTCTCAATTAAGGGCATGTGGATGGTTTGTGTGCAATCTCAGCTCAAGTATTGAAGGAATTGGGTGGTTGATATTTTTCCATGTGTTGCTGAGGGGTGGACGTGAAGGCATGGCCAAGATCAAAGCGGTTATCTATGCAAAACTGCAGGTGCATTATAGTAATATGTTGAAATGAATTGACCTTGTTTCCTGCTTTGATGTTCTTTGCTTGGTTGAACCAGCTACAACTGCACTAGGCCTGCGGTATGCTCACAGACACTGGAAAGAAAGTCGCAACGCGGGGACCAAAGTCAAAGAAGGAGCAAACAAACATTTTGCCTGCATGTCTCCAATCCAAGCGCCCTGTTTTACAGACACACTATTAAGTTATTAAGTTTACTACGAATTATTGGGAGAGATGTTGAAAGATCTACAGTTGCTCAGTGCGTCGTCATACTGTATACTTGTAAATCTCAGTGGGTATCACGCTTCACTCACCTCCTACTCCTAGTCAATCACTTTTTAAACCTAGCCCAACAGCTGTGCTTTGATGCAGGAGCAGAAAGCAAATGAAGGAACACCAGAAGAACAAGAAGGCGAACCCCCAAAAAAGTTTAAGAGGCTCAGGCCAATGGATGAAGCTGAAACATTACCCTACCAGTTCGACTCCCAAGAACTCCAAGATGTGAACCAGTCTTTGTTCGCAGATGAGGAGGTCTTAGATCATTCTCTTGACAGTGAAGAAGAAGTGACCGAGGAGGACGAGGAAAGCGAAGGTGATGTCAAGGAGGGTGAAGAAGAAAAGAAGGAGGAAGAAGGGAAACCGCATCAGGAAGACAAGCCTGAGGCAGAGGAGGATGAAGAAGGAGAGCAGGAAGAATGTGACAAGCCTGAGGAAGACAAAGCTGAGGCCGAGGAAAAGGAAGGAGGAGAAGTTCAAGAAGAAGAAAAACATGAGGAGGAACAGGCCGAGACTCAGCATGATGAAGAAGGAGAAATGGAGGTTGCAGAAGTAGAAGAACATGAGGAGGAACAGGCCGAGACTCAGCATCATGAAGAAGGAGAAAGTGAGAATAAAGGAGAAAAAGATGAGGAGGAACAGGAAGAGGCCGAGGATGATAAAGAAGGAGAAGAGAAGGAGGATGAAGAACAGGCCAAGGCTGACGATGATGAAGAAGGAGAAAAGGACAAGGAAGAAAAGCACAAGGAGGACAAGGCTTGGGCCCAGGATGACAAAGATAAAGAAGAAGAAGAAGAAGAGGAAGGCGAGGTGACGGCATTTGCAGACACAAAAGGCCCACTTGGACCGGAGGAGTTTGCAAGTCCAGAGTTGGAGGCGAAGGCAAAAGAGGCCGCTGGCCTAGCGAAGAAGGTCTCCCGCACCAACAATGATGACATTGTCACGGCCCAAAGAAAGATGCGTAGAACATTGAAAGAAGGAGAAGAGGACTCTGATGGAAATGGTGATGGTGAAGATGATGACCGAAGGCTTCGTGAGGCTGAAGAAGATTCAAATGAGGAAAAGAAGACAGGCAGAGGCCGCGGCAAAGGACGAGGGCGAGGACGAGGAAGAAGTAAGAAACCAGCAGAAAAAGAAGAGGAAAAAGATCTGAACCCCAAAGCAAAAAGCTCCAGACCACGAAAAGAAGACCAGAAAGAGAATTGCAAGAAGAACGCAAAGAGACAGAGTAGCCCTGAGAAGAGGGATGAGGAAGAAGACAGCGCACCGCAAGAAAGGCGCCAAGGGGATGACGCCGAGAAACCTGAAGATGAAGGTGTGAAACAATCGATCCAAGCAAAGAGCAAGTGCGCTCCGCGCAAGACAAGGACACCGGAAGTGCAGGAGGCAGCGGAAAGCAAAGCAAAAAGGCCAAGGAAGAAAGCAAATAATGAGGATGAAAGTGAGGAGAAGAAGGAGGTTGCAAAGAAGACACCGGATGAAGGGGGAATTGATGTGAAGGAGGTTGGAAAGAGGGCGAGGGGCATGAAGGTTGAAAATGAGGAGACAAAGAAGGGCAGCAAGAAGAAGGCCAAGGAGGAGGCGGTTGCAGAAATGAAGGCAGCTGAAAAGAGTGGACAGGACCAGAAGAGGAAAAGCTTTGCAGCGGGTGAGCAGCATGATGATGAGGAGAGGGAAGTTGAAAAGCCTGGCACAGACTGCAACAACAAGAGGAGGAAGAATACAAATGCAGATGAGGAGAAGATTGAAGATCCAACAAGGGCGGCTGAAGAGAAGGCAAAGGATGAGAAGAAAAGAAAGAAGGCAAAGGAAGATCAGATGCACGAGGCTGAAAAGGAAAAGAATCATGACAGGAGAAAGAAGGCAAAGGCCATCAAGAAAGATGATGAGGAGATGAATGGGGAAAAGAAACAGGAGGTTGGTGCGATCAGCCAGACACCTGACAATCAGTTGGGAGACTCAAGGCTGTACCCGGGCAGATCCCCCTTGGAGAAGGGCAAGCAGGCAGAAGTCACACCGAAGCGCAGCCCTATGAAGATAGCTGCAGCAGCCGCCAAAAGAGTGGTGATTCAAAAGAAAGCAGGAAACGAAGATGGAGTGAAAAAGAACCTCTTGGGTGACTTTGAAGAGCTTGCTAAGAAGAGTAAGACCAACGAGAAGAAGAAGCGGGAACCAAAGAGCTTGAATCTCGAAGCTCTTGACACTAAGCCACATTAGCCGCATCAAACACACTGGGGTGTTTCAATTGCATACCGCATACCGGTCAACCAAGCTACATAAGTAATATACACATGTGTACAAATCATGCATGAGCACATGTGCACATCTACTAGCGATGAATTTGTGGCACTTCTTTAATAAACTATGCAATGTGCATCACTTAGGAGAGTACAATTCGGCAGTTGAAGCACTTGGCCAACGAATCGACTTGGTTCACCATCCCGACTGACGTTGAAGCCGCCATGAGCCACTTCGAGCAGACCAGGGAATGGAACTATTCCCAGAAGTGTGGATCCCAGTAAAACATCAAAAATGGTACGGACTATCCTGAGATAGGTACGGAAAAATTATCATTCGATCCATGAAAATATGAAGTCATAAGACTGGAAACCATCGACCACACATGTCCCCGCTACCGCCGAGGTCCTTCACGCTGAATCGACCAAAGGATAAGGGCCCAGCACCTTGCAAAGAGGTGGGCAGCATCGGAGTTGGGCGCAGCCCTCAACCTCCTTTGATTTTTTAGTGATGTGGTGTATGTAAAAATTGTCTGGGGAACCAATTAAGGTTGGACACCCATGGATTCTTTGCTTCAAAAGTTCCACAAGACCGCATCAAGAAGGTGAACCAGGTGAAGAATTTGGAACCTCCACTCAATGCACCTAGCCCATAATTCGAGATGTTGGTTTGCAGTTTGCACTCAAGTTTCCTATCCTATAAATCCCGTTTCCTTGCCTACAACTAAGGCCAATGTACGGAGGGGTGTCAGCATTGCTTGGACAAGGTATGGCATCTTCGTTGGGTCATACTCTTAATTACTGCATAGATGTTGAACCAAAACAAAATCACATCCATATTCCCTAGTTTCATGGTTGTGATACGGCTGAGGTGGAACCTGGCTTTGGTCTTGGCGGGATGGACCCCACTGGATGATGATTTAGATTCAGACGAGGATTTGAACTCGTCTTGATTCTTAGCAATTTCCATTGTTTAGGTGGCTGGCATAGCGGGGCTTGGTTGACTGGTTGCAACAACTTTCATAGAGCTTAGTTGGCTTTCCTCCTATGATCTCATGAAGCGGTGATGTTTTGCCTGTTTGGAATATTTTGGACTGGCCCCTAGCTGGCGCGTTGATTGTGTGGCTTCACACAATGCACTCACTTGGTCCGTGGGGTGGACAATGTGAAAATCTGAGTTCAATTAATATTGCTTATGAACCATGAACACTCTTTGATATGCAAGTTGACTACCAAAGATTTGCTGATTCGACCTCAAGCTTTTCTGTGCAGCATTCTGGTATCAAGGCTTTGTATATGATACAGGTTGTGGCGATGCGTTCGAAGCCCTTGACCCGCGTGAGCCCATTGGCCTTGTCGGCCAAAGCTTCTCAATTGCTTTTGCTCCTTGGAGCACCGGTGCTATTGTTTCCTGGCTATGCACACTCAGCCTGGGCACAAACCCGTATGCAATCATGTGATTGATGTTTTCCAATGGCGTGGGTGCGTTGGGATCTGAACTGAACTGAGTCTCCATTGCATCGACTATGTGGTGGAAAACACACCCACCTACAAGTCTACGAGGGTCCCCAACTCAGGCCTCACTTTTTTCTCCTACATAGTCAGCAACCCCTGTCACCTCTAGTTGAAGGTTTGCCAAAGCTCAGGACCTCGACAACGCAGATCTGTTCTCGGGTGAAGGAGCGATCAATTTGGCATTCCGTGGGTGCCTGTGTCTTTAGAGCTCTTGGTTCAGGGAGTGGCATGCATGAAGCTTTACTCTTGTACGCACGTTTTCCGACTAAGTTGAGAAGAAGCTGAAATCGAGTCGCCCTTAGCAATTACTGAAAGAACAAACAACGATGTCAAATCAGCTGGGGATCGATCTACATCTAAGCACTGACAACATACCCTGAAACTTGCCGAGGAAGCCGTTTGACGTGGAAACATCTGGTGACAGCGGGGACATCTTGACTCCGCTGGGCTCTTTACACTTTGTGAAGCTTATGTGTGCGTGCACAAGTTTGTTACAATGAAACAATACCACAGGTTTTGATTCAACAGGGACTGTGACAAGTGTCTGTGCTGGGTTGCCAAGGACTGGATTCTTAAAGAGTATCCAGGTCATACTCAAACTCAAAGAGGGAGGCCTTGCAACTGCAGGGCCTCCCTGCGGCAGCTTTGTCTTTTTGAATATGGCTACATCAAAACGGACAAGGTCAAAACCTTTAGGAGGCCGTTGGGAGTACGTCAAACGCGCTAACCAGATCCTTGTCTTCAAAGTCCCCCAAGTCCTCCAAAATGTTTTTGGATGGGATGACCTTCTGAAATCTTGGGTGGCTTGGGACTCACAGGTTCTAATATGTCCGTCCAGTATCCCTCAAAGATCCGCAAAGTGTGTCACTGTAACATGTTCAAGCCAGTTGCAACTTTTGTTCATCCAAAGGGTGCGACCATGGATCACACCAAGCCATGATGGTGGCCAATGAAAAACTGGTTTGGGTTTGCAGTTCACTATCCCTTCTCCCGCCGGCACCGTCATCGCCAAGGATCACATGCCGACTTTGCTTGCTGCTGCTCCTTACCTTTGTGAGGTGTGGAGTTTTTCTCATCGAACAACCGTCATCAACCTTGATGGTCTACTTCCCCTACCTGGTCTGGCTCCAAAAAGTTGTTGAACTTTTCTGGCCCTGGTTGTCCACCAGGTTGTGGGCTACTCAGTTTTTGTGTTGGGGTACGGAGTCCAAATCCTAAACCCCCCTAGTGGGTGACTGAACTGAGTCACATGGGCAGCTACGGCCACCAGAACCTAAAGCCCACCCTGGTCTTTGGAAGTGCGCTTGGGCCCTGGATTGCAGTGTGTCATGCACTGACCTTGTTTGTTGCTGTTGGATAATCCATTGTTTGTGGTAGCTACTGTTGTTTGCACTAAGTACTTGGTCATACCGGCTCCGGGTGAAGCTGACAAAGTCGGTGAGAAAGCGGATCAACAAGAACAAAGAGAAGAACGCTACTGTGCGCAAATACATCGATGGGAAAGGACAGAAGAGAGTGTGCCCAGCTTACACGATTTTGACCCAACAAACATTCATGATCTGGCCATGTGACAATGACTGTTTTATGCCTGGATCGTTTTTTCTCTTGATTGATTGGGTTTCTTCTTTAGGGCTGGGAATCCTCTTCGACTTCGTGCTTCACAAGTTTACCCAAAGGGCTATGGTAAAGCGATTTGCTCTCTCCATACTTCTTGGATGGTGCCCAGGCTCCAAAAGCAGTAGAGTTGAAACAATAAATTAACAACAGTGTGCAAAGCAAAAAATTAATATATTTTCCTGGTCACCTCAATACTTCCTAAGGCGGACAAGAGCAACCGGGAGAACATCCGCACCGCCCTTTACCCCAAGACCGGTGGCTTGATGGAGAAACTGCTAGAGAATGTGCCAAAGGTGGGATTGCGTTCCTCAGTCTCAACAAAATGCGACATGTCAGCAAACTTTATGTGATCCACTTTAGATGGTGGTGTGGAGGTGGTCTTGGGTCATGGGAGGTACCATATCGATGGCGACATGCGTGCCTATCAGAAATGCAAAGCTTTTTACAAAGCGAGCGGGACGCTGGAAGGTTCCACTAATTCATGTGGTACTCGCTGGCTTGTGATGGTATGAAGATGTTTGATTCATACTTGGAATCAGTAAATGGTGGTCGCACACCTGCCAGGGAGTTGAAAATCATTAGCTCTGGAAACGGACCTGGACGACTCGTTTCAAACTCAAAAGTGACCGTGAAAAGAGCGCGAACTACCGTGAACAGATCGTGAAAGACAGTTTTTAGGCGTGAAAGACAGTTTTTAGGCGTGAAAGGAAAAACTCTAAAAACTCATGCTTTTTAATGTTTTTTAGTCAACATGGGAACACATTGAACAAACATGGAAACACATGTCTTCCACCTGTAGCCGGTGATTGCTCTTTGAGGAAAGATGTCAGGTGTGTCTGATATCTTAGCCAGGGCTGCCCAACGGCTAGACCGGGCTGCTGCAGTGAAGAACACGCTGAATGGGAAGGAAGGTTCAGCAAAGTCTGATGGGAGGACTGGGTTTGGGGTACCAATTCTCAGTTTGCACTTTTGGGGGGACAATTACAATGGGCCCCTGCTGTCGTGGCTGCCACATACTGATAGACTCTGGTTTGACAGGTGTATATGCCATAGACTTTGATTTGACAGGAGTGGTGGTCAAGTGAAAAGGACACAGAGCCAGGCAGAAGCGGCAGAAGGCTGGCTAACCCGCCCGGACTGCATACCAAGTCACCATCGATCCACAGCTATAGACCGATATGTAGAGGATGTAGATGATGTACGGCACACTTCCTGCACAAGTGGTTGCATTGACTGTTCCAAGATTTGGATTTTTTCAACATTTGCTAAAGGGATCAATGGCAAGGATCTTAGAGGCCACAAGAAGGTTTTGCACATCTTGGCATGATTTCATAAGAACATATCGATGCAAAAAATTAACCTAAACTCAAAAACACATTTAGTGTCATCAACTAGAATTCAACAAGGAATGAAAACAAGTCTGTGCGCATGCTTCCCTGCCGCGCCAGAATCGGAAGCTTCCACCATACCCGGAACCACAGAAGAAGCGAGGAGGATGGCGAGAGAAAAGACTCGTCAAGCTAAGGCCGAATCCACCCCACCCACCAAGATCAAGAAGAGTGAGAGTGCTTTGGAAAACCCGTCAGGCCCGAAGCTGAGCAAAGCAGTGCAGAGCAAAGCGATACTAGAGCCTGTTGAGACAAAGGCTGAGAGGCGCCGGCAGTCCCAGGCGACTGCTGTGAAGGCCAAAGCAGCACCAAGAGTTGAGGAGGACAAGAGAGCGGATGCAGTTCGGGAATGCTTGAGGAGACCATCAACAGGGGACTTCGCATCTCCTGTCACAAATCCTGCAAGCGCAGCAAAGCCTGGGAAGGTGCCGGAAGAGAAGCAGAGCACCCCTCCTGCCAAGGAAGACACCAAGGAGAAAGAAAAGAAGAAGAAAGACACCAAGGAGAAAGAGAAGAGCACCCCTCCTGCCCAGGAGAAAGGCACCAAGGAGAAAGAG